AACGTCCTATTGGATATTGCTTTCTGATTGGTTTCGACAAACACAAAGGGCCGACTCGTTTGCCGTCAGTTCACGAGAGCTCGTTCATGTTTAGACCCACTTGTTGACTATGGAGTACCAGCGATCATGCAGAAGCGCTCCGCTAAAAAGGAGTACATTTTCAACGTAGTCATGTCCAATAAACCGGACGACCTTTAAAGACGATTGAAGACCAGTATCTTGTACGCATAGGTCCTATTCTTTACTTTTACAATTCAGTCATCCTCCGGTGAAATATTGAGAAACAAACGGGTGAAACTCATAAAGAATTGCACCTTTAAATCTCCTGTATGGTACTAGTTGCAAAAGTTATTTTTATCTAAATGTGAAGAAGCGTTGTCTTTCCTGCTCCAACAGACAAGCTTTCTTAGAATCCTAACAACCTTGTGTACTCCACGCTAAGATTATTGTGTAATATCAGGCGCGTAAATATGAAAAGGGCGAAACGATTCCACCCATATGCCTGAATTTTCGCAGCTAGTCTAGGAAGAGATTGTTTCTATCAATAGCACCCCAACCTATATCTAAGAGGGTTGACGCTACTCGATCGCTTCTGATAGTCATTCAGGGATAGACTGATATACCGTCACTTCTTACATGTGTGTAAATAAATATCAAGTAGGCTTATTCATGTAGAATGTTACAAAAGCAGCAAAGGCGAAGGAATCTGCTATTTCCCTCTGCATCATCGTTTTGGTTCCATTGTACGCTATTTATATTTCGCTTTACAGCAACCCTTACATGAAGCGTGCCTGTACAGAAATTCGATGTCCTATAGAAATAACAATCATATTTTGGAAGCATATTTAAGCTAATGAAAGTCAATATCTCGGATTCTAAAAAATCAATGATTCAGTCTACGTCTTGCTATCACCCCGTATTTGTGACACGTTTGTTCCAGAAAAACTATCAACTTCTCAAAGCCGTCATTGGAAATTCTTTGCTGACAATACAACTATCACACATCAAAGACGGCAACACCTACCAGCCTCAAGTGGTAAATGATACTGAATCTAAGGAATGTGATTTTTTCTTCTTCCTATTGCATGTGGTGCACATGCGTTTGCATCGAGCCAAATAACAGAATACGTCGCTACTTGGGTAAAAATAAGTGGCTTATACTGATGGTCTATGGTCGTTAGCACACAGACAGCTACTTGGAGTCAACCTGGCCTTGTCGCATGAAATCATGGCGATCAGAGCACACTCGTCTCCCAATACCTCTGATGTTGGTATTCTCTAACAAAGTGTATTCACCAACCGACAGAATTCCCCAACCCAATGGACTATGAATGCTCAGGTTGATAAACTGTCAGCCAACCAACTTCTTTTCAGATAGATATTGCTTCGTACTTACGCATAAATTTAAGAGTGAAATTCAACTGACCGCATGATTTCCTCTTCTAACGGTATCCTGGAATCACTTTTGAATGGCAAGTACGTAGGTTGTACTCGATCTGCGGTTAAAAAAATCAACAGCAAGAAATTGTCCAACAAAATCTTCAATCATAAAAGCGTGAACCCCTGCATTTGTGTGGTGCTCTACACTCACAAATGATTCCATTACCATTAATTTTCCCTTTTAGTAGTTCAACTCATCTAGCTATTCTGAATCTTCACGTAAAATTTCAGTTACCATGTCAGGTGACCCACACGACGTGTTAAAAGCGAAAACACCATGCGTTTTTGTAATGCACTACTCATAAGGTTGCTGAAAATTTTTCGACAGCTCACGACCGATTTCACCCCTCTTGGGGCCCATCAGGTAGGCGTCGTCCCCGAGCTTCCACCAGCATTATGTTCTACTTGAAGCCGAATTGCACGAAATTAGCGAAGTAAGCTTATTTGCAGACAAATTTGGTATGGTGATAAACTCCTCTGAAACCCTGCTAAATCTCTCGTCTGTGATGTTTCGAGGTAACTGAATGTACTGCACCAGGCCGCCTCATGTTTCATTTGCTACGATATTTTAGATATCTCGATACATGTATATTCGTAATGCACTACTCATAAGGTTACTGAAAATTCCTCGACAATCCACGACTATTCTACTTGTGCTCTCTTGTAAATTATAGGTCTTCAGATTGACAACACTTCCGGTATCAACTAATTATTCTATGTAGTGTCTGCTTTCTTATTGGATGACATAATCAGAAAGCATTTCGCAGGAGTGCTGACTACTTATCACCATTTTAGTAATCTTGAAAGGCAGCTTGTCAACTCTGAAATCTAAAATGTAGGTAAAAGTAACAACTTATCAGCTGACTTTCACACTGGGCTAACAAGTACGTAAGCCATGTTTTAGCCCAAATGGCAGTGCCAGTTCAGACTTCACACCAAAGTGAAACATACCTTATTGCCGTTATTCACATGTTTCAGTGTATCAATATCGAAAAAATATAACTTCGTAGTAAGTGAAGGAAACGCGCTTAACTTTTGAGGGCCTGCTGGTTATTATAGCCGTAGTTCCAGAAAAGCGAAATACTAATTTGTTTACACTTGTTCTCAATATTTAGGGCTATAAAGGTTTCCAGTTGCTGCACGTTGAACATGCCATCCCTTGTTAAATCCTTTTCTTCAACAAATTATGAAATGGGGGTGCAGGATGAAAACAAGGTGGAGGTTTGGACCCGTGCGGGTGTACATTGGTTGAGTTGCTGACGTCTCACTTTGCTGCATGCCGCGGTGAATATGGAAATTTTTCTTATTGTGACGCAAATGATTAACGTTCATTAGCAAGCCATAATTGGGTCTTGACCGCGTTAGCGAGCCTGAAATTCACTTGCCCATGCTGGTTTTCAAAAATGCAGTACTCTCTTCCAGACAGTAGAATCGCGAACAAGACGAAACATGATCAGGTGTAACACACCTCCCGATAAATCGTTAGCCGAGGTGAAACCCGAGAATAATGAGAAAAGTTTGATTCTCATTAGTATTTCATAACTAGGATGACCGAAACGCGTAAGTATAAGGCTAATGAGTGAATTATAGTGTGACAAAAGTGGCGCTTCATTTACACGGTCCTCTGGACGGGGCTTGCTGTGTCATCAAATATGTGACTGGTTACATCCGAATCATGTTGAATGTGCCCACATTCCACCGCATTGAACCTTGATCCGTTCTCAGCCACTTTGTAACCATAATCTTTGAATACGTCCGTGTAATGATGAGCACAACTATCCAGTGCATAATCTTGGTCCGAGAACTTTTTTATACTGAAAACAGTCTTTCTACCAAAGGGTGAACCTAAGACAGTCATCGGATACTTAGGTATTTAGGTCACTTTAACTAGACTGTCTTATTACTGGTTGGCTGTGGGGTGGATTATAGTGGGTGGATTATATTTGAGTCATTAGTGTTGTTATTCTTCGGTCATGACCAAAGGAACCGTTCAGAACAGAACAAGGGCTCCGTATTCGAAAACGTTTCATGACAATCGGTAGATTTATTGCTGGGCAACGTTTCGCTTTTGACAAAAAAGCTTCGTCGGGCCAAGTGACTAGGTTCTGAGGTTGATCGAGATTTAAAGCGGAAGGAGTACCAACGTATGTTGCATGAGCCTCTTATCCAAGACATCGTCACTCGGACAATCTGTCCACATATGAGAATGCAATTTGAATTGCTTGATTGGAGGACACGTGACATGACATCTTATGAGTGCGTGTAACACCCGCTGCTGATTAGCTAAACTTACCATAATCGTAGGGTTTTTGGTTACCTGACAAAAGGTCTGTGGTTCGTATATTCCTAAAGTGATGCACATCGCTGATGATTCCGAATCACGCCAAACTACACATACAGTGACTGCTTCCTGGCTTTTCAGTTTGAACTGACCTCACTTTCAGTAAGAAACATCGACGAGCAATCCTTATGACTTTACGCCTACTTAGTGAATTGAAACAAGAACTAACAAAACTATGGCGATTACTCGGACTTCCATAAATAGCAGCATAATGTATAGCGCCATATCCTAACGCCATTGCATTCTAACCTTATAGCCATCGTAACACACTGTCAAGGTTGAATATCCTAACAAGCTTTCACTGACCCGCCATATCCTAACGCCATTGCATTCTAACCTTATAGCCATCGTAACACACTGTCAAGGTTGAATATCCTAACAAGCTTTTGCTGACCCACCTCTGCCTCTCGACTTCCCTGCCTAGGCTTGGGCAACCTGGCAGTATCCCAACCCTCGTGCTTCCTTTGGGTAGCATGGCAGCTAGGCACCGAAAGGGTGTTACAGCTAAACGATATTTATTCATATACGAACGAACTGATGAAATATTACAGTGGAGATGACTACGTCCATCTGATGCCTATCAGATACACAGAGTGGTTTCCCTGCGAATTCCTTCCTGGTCTTGTCAACATAACTGTCTTTACTGGCTACAGTGGTTTCGGTCCTACAAATAGATTGACGGGTCATGGGGAAAAATTCATTCCGCAGATAAATTACCCTTGTCTATGCTGTCAATGAGCCTTATTATCGGGGTTATCCCAAATTAATAATGTCAAAATAGTCACGTTGGCTTTCTCTTCAGCTATTTCATCTTCGCAATAGACGTAACGAACGCCGGTATCGCATGCTTTTCAAACTGTCCGTAAAATAATTTTTTTCTGAAAGCAGTGGTCAAATTCATTACCCGTGTCGCTGTGGTTGACCTTACTTTTCACAACATCAAGCAGTATTCCATAAATTTTGAGTGAACTATTTCAGTCTTTTGAGGTACTTCTGCCCGAACTATCCCTGTCCACAAATAACCTGACAAAACAACACCATCAACTTAGAGTATTGCTCAGATGTATTGGCCCCAAACGGCGTGTATCCCAGCCAGCCACATTTCCTTCCCATTGGATACCAGAAGCAGAATTAAATGAGCCTGTGTTTAAATCCATCTTCCTGTCTACACGTGACCCATTTGAAACGCATCATCGTTTCCCTCCAATTTTTTCGTCAGTCAGGCAGCTTCTGGAGAGAGGGCTGAATCCTAATGTGGCCAAGGATGATGGATTAACACCGCTACATCAGGTAAGACGGTTTTTTTGCATCTACATTTAGTATTCATTTGTCCTAGGTCACGTGGTGGCTGAATACATTATCACTGGTTGACGGTGTGGTTTCCCCTTCTGTCTCACAATTAGTTTTAACCCGATGCAGGTCACAGTACGAATTTTGGAATCTCAACAACATTTCGATTTTGGACCGTATTGATCGTGAGTAGGGCTCAAAAATAGTTTGCTCTTTGCCTCAAAGGCTTCATCATAAGTCGCTGATCTCGTGTGGAGAAATGATTTCTTGAACCACAAACTCGTGGAGTTATATTACTGTAATTAATATCGGTGCTATTCGACAATGTTTAGCATAAAATACAAAATATTACGCTTTGTCAACAGCCACCTTTAACATACGTTGAGAGCAAGTTGCCATAGTTGTCTCACTATTCATGGGTAAGGCAAAATAGCCCATAAAACTTTTGTGGAAACATTCAGGAAAGCAAAATTTTAAACTCTCGTTTGCCATTTCCCATTCTCTTTCAAAAGGCTTGTATCAACAACAGTGTGGAGATGTGTGAACTTCTGCTCCGTCATGGGGCGGATGTCAACTGTCGAGATGCGGACCAATGGACTCCCCTTCATGCCGCGGCTGCCAGTTGTCACGTGGATGTATGCGAATTTCTGTTGGCTCAGTAAGTGTCCCATAGCTAAAGCGTGCGTGTTTTTCTTAGTTTCAAGGCTTCCTCAAGCGTGGCGTATGTCGAGCTTAGATTTTATCGGCAAAATCGGCTTTATACTTGCACGTTTGCATACGAAATAAAACGCAAACTTGAATAGACTGTTCGAAATAAGCCTACTTGCACATTGATTTATGTCGAGAGATTAAACTGAATCCCAGCTGAACCACTGGTTGATGACGCTCTCCAACTGGATTTGCTGCACAAAGGCTGCCTTATTTTCAGTCATTTCAAAAGTTGAACGAACAGTATTCACAAGGTTGGCTAAAACTTTCCGAAATTCCATGATATACTTCGCTCCTCTTCCCGTTTACCAGGTAGGTGGAACACCCTAGATTTTGTAAACCCTATGTTCTACCTGAACATAAATTGTACGAAATTCGCGTATTAAGTTCATCTAACAGAAGAATTGTGTTTGTTTACACAGCCATATGGTATGGGAATATTTCAATGGGTCCAGCTGTTTTCAAATCTCATAAACCGAAAAGTTTTGAATGTTGAGTTGACACGCAAGAGATGACTCGGAGGGTCAACAACGTTTCAGATGCTCGCAAGATTCCCACTTTTGTGTTCTTGTCTCCTTTTGCTGCTAGTTTAGTAACCATGGGTTTAGTAGGCAGATGTCTCCAGTTTTTCTTCGTATTCTCAGCTCTACAAAAACATAGGAATGAAAAAAGGTACGTGTCCTGTGATAGTTATTCCCTGGGATTTTGAACCAGTGCGGACGGGTTGATAACAGGATCCGTCAGGTTTCTGGGTGCTTGACTTGTGGCACCCAAAAGATCCCACATAAGGAGCATCCATATTGGATTATTCTCTCCCTTTTTTCCTGTCAGCATCATCAGTGCTTCTTCAAGAACACACAGGTTTGTACTGATTATTCTGTCAGAAGTCTTTTTCAGGACTTCTAGTTTCTCTTTGCGACTGTTTGATGAGCTCTGGACTCACTAGGTCAACCATTCTTGTGTTGCCAGAATTCGATCACAAAGATTCAGGTCATTTCAGACAAATCTCACATCATTATTGCGGAGATATTGATTTTTTTCCGTAATATTGCAAAACTCGCTGTTCGCCGTTTTTTAGACACTTTATTTGATGCTCAAATGTGTGGGAGAAGGTCGGTGAGCGAACAGCTGCAAAGGCAAATAATGCTTCTTGATTGCTCAGGCCAAAGAAGGGAGTTAGTTGAGGTACCCAACCTTGGGCCTTTGACTCAAAAGTCCGACCCACAAGGCAGTGTGAGAATGTGGGGTTTTATTTCGGGAACCTTGCAGTTAGCTGCTAACTCAAAAGTCTGCCTTCATACTCCTATCGCAGAGGTACAGTTTAACCAGTACAGTTTAACCTCCGGATTTCCTCATCATACGATTAATCGCAGCACAATGGCTCATTTCTTTTGGTCTGACTGCTCCCCTTTGGCCTTCCTGGCATTGTCGAACCTTTAGGAACTGAGTTCCAGTCAATATAACCCGCAGAATCATTACAGCACAGAAGCCCAACCACCATGACAAGGTGACAGCTTGAGGTCGCGGAAACAGCCTTGGTTTGTGCCAAATGTAATCACTGGTGATTCGTCTATTACTTGAATAGCTCCTTAATAACTGGGTTTGATCTTTGTCTGTCTAAATTCACAGATGTTTTTAGCTGTAGCAGAGACAGATAGGCGTAGCTGATTTTACAATGAAAATTAGAGTATGTTTTCGTTTGACTAATTTGACAAGAGGACGATTCTCATAATCTTTATATCTAATGACCTATGATGTTTCTTTCTTATGTAGCGTACGTTTTCATATGTGTCACCGTTACCTAGCTGAAGTATCTTTGAATTGGTGTGTTTATTAGCTCCGATTGGCTCGGAATATGCAACATGATAGTTAAAAGCGCATCAGCGGCAGAGATGCAGATCTGGTTCCCCCAAATCATGTTTGGATTTAGCTGCAGAGCATGCTGAATTGAATGGAATCATTCTGTACCGGACAAACGTACAGTTCAGTTTCACTGTAATCATATCGTCAACATGCTTTCAGTAGACGCATTTTTGACCAATGATGTATTATAATCCCGCGCCTTCTAACTTATCAAAGGTAGAGCTCACTGCCAGATCGTTAGTCTTTCTATTGGAACTGGACTTTTATAGTGCACTTGATGAGGGTCCCGTATTTTATTCTTCATCGGCGTTCAATTTCGAACTATTATTACTTTTTCATGTCATTATCTGCATGACCTAAATTCTGTGGATTAATAAACCTTGGTAATGAAATCAGAGGTGTAAATTTCGTTTGTCGACGTTGCGATGCGGAGGCGGGTCGTCTGGTCATTTGGTTTCGCCTGGAGTCCTGGTCTTTGTAACGCCTGTAGGGACAGTTGTGATCCCTGGATTTAGTAGGGAATGATTGCGCATGTCCCAACTACTCACCAATTAACAGTAGCATGATCACCGTTGGCAGGTGAGCCCCGCTTGAATCTCGGTGAACAAGGTGGTTCCTGTCAAAACATCCACCGCTGCTTCGTGCCTCTATCTGTTCAATATTCACGGCAAGCAATCATCTTTTGTCCGATATCTGCGTGCTGTTTTGTTAGGCAGAAGAAATGGAGATCGTTACATGTCTCTCCCCAAGTGTATGCGAACAAGGACACATCGAGCCGTTAAGTAGGGATGAGTATATTCATCGGTTATTCTTTATGACAGTCTGATACACTTCTATTCAAGGTGTTTTCATATGTAGTATACTTTTTTGTATTTGTAGGCAACTTTCCATTTTTCAACTCAGACAAGCTCGTATTTTTAGCAACTTGAAAACACTAAACTGAAGCCAGCACGCTGAGAACTTCGGTGAACTTTTATTCTTTGTCCATATTGTGAGGGATCTTGGCAACTTAAATGGATATTTTGTAAAGCCGATCTATGTTGAGATGCCTAGAAGCACTGCTCAGCTGTTTCAACCTTATTATGAATCATCGTTACTGCGGATCTCATTAAACTGCAGTAAAGATTTTGTAACCCACCAACTCCCGCCTAGTTGTTTGAATTCGAGTGGCTGATCATTAGTGTGGTTAAATTACACTCATTCTTCAAGTGTGGTACCCGTATCACGTGGTCACACGTGTTGACGGAATCTATGTTCATATTTCCACATCTCCTCATACTACCAGCAAAATACCTTGCACAAAATGAGTGAGGCTTTCTTCTGAGAAGTTGTCACTCGATGGACCAGTCTATCAACACATGATTGTGCGGTGTGGATGCCGTGAATAAGAGATGAGTGACGCCATCTCCTGCTTAAGTGCAAGCCAATCGCATTGCCGATTGTGTGCTTTCAGACAGAAAGCTGCACAGTGCCTCTCGGCTTTTCAGCATTGGTTTACTTCATTTTCACAGCGAAATTTCCACCAAAAGTTCAATATTGCGTCGGACACACAAGTCATTTTTCTTCCAGTTCTTGGTATTTACTGAATAGTAATCAAATACCTTCATCATTTGATGAACGCCGAAACAGCGTTATGAGAACTTGTGATCGAATCTTACTAGGACTCCTTAGCTGAACATGTGGCTCCCTATTCCTTCTTTCTACACCACGACTGACTGGATGAAATTGCGTTAGATATGATTCACAATGTCTAAGAAGGAACTGCCGGACAAATCATGTTCTTATTGATCTATACGATGACTGATAGTATTGCAAGCGATAGCACTGAACAAGTTATAAACAAGATGACTGGTACAAAACAGTGACACTTCTTTTAGCCATGCTAACGTTAAATAACACGCAGCTGGTTGTTTAGAGCACTATGGCTTGGTTTGCTTTAACGCTAGACGGGAGATGCAGTGAACATCCTCATGTGTTTTTTGATAGAGGGGTATCCTAAACGAGCGATTCATTCGTAGAACACCAAACTTACATTCAAACGAGACTATTTGTCGAAATCCCTACGTGCTGTTTGCATTTTTTGTGATAAGTGAACAGTTTGCTACTCATTGTCGCATAATGAGGTGCCACATGCTCCTACTTCAATTCCAACGCAGAAGTATTTGGCAAGGCGGTCATAGGAGTTTCAGTCTACAAAAATTTGTTCACAAACCGTGTTGAAAAAACACAAAGTAAGTCCAACAGTGACTGCCTGATGCTGTAATAATATACATCCTTCCTTGGGACACATTGTTCCTTGGACACTGAGATTAGACGGCACCATGTCATTACGGCGAGCCCCATAATGACCAAAACTGGTCTAATGCTGTCTAATAGTTTCCAGTAACCCTTTGACCTGTGTTATATCTACACAGTTTAATGCTTTGACTAAAATGCCGTAACACCTTAAACATGAGGAGGCTTTGTGAGGCACATGCAGCTGAAGGAAAACGAGAGAAACGGTTGGATTAAGTCCTTTGTTAAGGCCAAGAAAATGCTCAAATGTGAGTTTTAGGCGGATCCTTCTTCTCTTTTTGAATCTCCATGCTTGGTCTGATACTGTGGGCGTGATAATACATGTTCTTGACTCAAAAATGTACCTTAGGTTTAATCCTACCTCGGCGCACCTTGGAACAGTGAAACGCCATTTACGTCCTATCGCTGAGTCAAGATATTATGTAATTATCATAGCTGCGTGACACAGATGTCTCTCCAGATATTGTTCTTAAATACCAGTCCGTTGAGATATAGGGGCAAGCAACTTCAATAATCTCCCGTTCATGGTCCTTTGCACTGAAAGGGGTAATAACCACATACAAATATCAATGAAGTCAGGCGTTTTTTCAGTGAGGAGGTTATTCACTGCTTGGAAAACCGCAAGCCAGCCCCTTGGAAGGTCATTTTTGAACTGACCCGGATCTTTGAATCTTTTGGGAGGGCGTGGAAAAGGAGGAGAAAATTTAAACATAACAAATTACAAGAACATTACAGAGCTTACAGTTATCGCTAAACAATGAAAAGACAGCCAACTGAACAGTCAAAGAAAACCGTTTTACAGAGCAGCACAGTTAAGACGTTCGGCATCTTTTAACGCATCGATTTCACAGGGCACAAGTGAGTTCTGAGCTTATTCAAAAACATGTTGATCTCATTACTCACCGGACCTACTGGAATCTCGTTTTTGATTGGCAAAAACTTCCGTCCTATGCCAAAGGACCGTCACATCACAATAAGCCTAATACTGCCCTCTTTTTAGTTTTCTGTGCTGCGTAATATAAGACTCTGCAAAGATAATGGCGCTCTTTTGCTCAATAGACTCATCTCTTCAGATAAACAGGGCTTTCGCAAACTTTGCTTGGATGCAACGAATGACTTCTGGTCTGTGAGTAATAGATAGGGGCCCTTAACACCCCCTGCGTTGAATTTATCAGGACCGAATCAAGTACCCCTCTCTCGATTTAGTTCCGAAGGGGCCTATGGAACCAACAGCAGACTAAACGATATCCACCTTCGGTCATCTCAACTATTTTCACAGCAGAAAATCCTTCAGTCTTTCTTACCAAGCTGGAGGAACGACGTTGTCTTTCCGTTGATGCCCACACGCACACTAAGCAAGGTCTTCCACATAAATCAGCATATGGGCGGCATTTTTTACGACCGCTAACCAAATGAACAAACAGACAATTGTCCTGGTTCCTTAGCGGCTTTACAGTGCTTTGTTAAATGTTATCGCTTTTACTCCTGCTCGTGATTCATATCCGAGAAATACTGAACCACCAAAGACACTCGTTCGACTCAGACTTCCTTTTTAAAGGACATGGGGATTTTTTTTACCTCATGCTTATCCCCTCCACAAACAGTGGCGCCGATATCCTGGCAATCAATGTAGACGGAAGCATTCCCTACGATTTGGCCGAAGACGATGAAACATCTCATTACCTTGTGAGTGAGATACACAGACGAGGTAAGTTTCCTGATTTACATAGTCTTTGTTAATTTACTAATCATCGTGTCTCGGGTTTATCACTTTGCAATTCACAAATCACTTTTCTTATAAAACTTACCACCGCCGTCAAATTGATCGATATGCATACAGCAGACGGAATACAGCGTTTTATTTACCGATGTTCCACAATGTCTGGAGCCACTTCAGTTCAAACGAATGTCCATCTTCTTGCCTCGAGGGGATTATAAAATCTGCTTGAACCGAAAAAGCCAGTGAGTGTACAAATCGCATAGTTAAATGGGCCCGCTATAAAACTCGTATAATAATCTGTTCACTGATTAATCAAGGGAGATTCAGATTAAAAAGACTCTAATTGAGAGGTAACTTCTCAGAAGAGGTGCCGTTTCGTGTATTTTCGCTTGCTTGCTAATCTCAGCAAATAAATTAGTTTTTCCGGTATATTACCACACGAATGCTTGAAAACCTCAGTTTGAAATCACAGTCCTTCATTGACAAGGCCTTTTAACCACAGCAAGCGAATACGCCTGTATAACACAGCCATTATTTTCGGAGGAAGTGACGATGAGAAATCTATTTTCTACCGAGAACCATGTTGGGTAGTGCGATCCTTTGAAGGGAGCATGACTTTGAAAGACATATTACGACTTGCAATACGCCAAGAAGACCCATAATCCAATAAAATATAACAGCTGTGGAGGGCTGTCACTCCATAACCTTAAAAAACAGAATTCTCCGAGATTGTCCATTTGGGAAACTTCTTAAAAGTCACCGGGGTAACTTTCTATATGTCCTTCTTAGGACTCAACTCACTAACCTATTTATGTTGTGTTCTCTGGTTTGTTTAACCTCTTAAATCACACTGTACAGGCGAACATCAGAAGAGCGACAATTATGACTTGTGACTCCTGCCAAATGCTTCCACCCAAAATTATCGATTTGTCCGCTTGGGTGACTCGACAATGCTAGCCTCTCGCAGTCTACCAAAGCCGAGATATTTCTCCGTGAAGGAAGATATTTCTGAACTTTTACATCGTTATTCGCCTGATGTACTATGACTGTTATTTAACCTTCTGCAGTGAAACCGTAGGTGATCACTTTACGAAGACACCAATCTCAGTGGCGCGCATGGAGCCGACGAAAACTATACCTGTTTTCCTCTCCTTCAATAGTTAAAGAACATCAAAAACGAAGGATTCAGTTAGGCTCACTTGAGTCTCCTGTTAAAACCAAATTGGTTTAAAGCGGTAAGGGATATCTGGAATTCGCGCTCACGGGATTCGTATTTGATCAGTACTTTTAACCTCCTGGCGCAAGCATTCGCTCTTACTAGAAGCAATCCGTAGTGCATATCGTTGGCCGCGCCATACTGTAAAATCCAGATATTGTAACCGTGAGGGCGAGAGTGCAACCACTACTCCACCAGCCCTCAATGGATACAGCTGAATCATCTCGCACGAAACAGGCTGGCGTGTTCATGCTTGAGATATTTGATTGGTTTTTCCAGACGCTCGAATGACGATCGAGTAACTGTCCTGGTTATGTCGATCGTATGACTCTCTTGTCAGGGCTTCTAAATCAGCTGCTACCAAGGTTCTGCACCGACGGTGAGCTCTAATAAGAGCAGAACTCGTGAATGGTGCTTCTCTACTCACTGAGAGGACTGTAAGACTAAATTAGTCTTCAAATGAGCGTAGATCTCGGACTGCCTATAATTTAAACTCAAGCAGAAAATAATCCGAATTTTGTTCATCAGTCCGTAAACCAACCCATCAGTCATGGCATCAACATTGATCATACGGCTCACGAATTTTCGACCTGAAGTTATCTGGTAAGGCGCGCAGGCAAGTTGAGAAGATCAATCATTTTTTTGGTGCTTCATTTCTTTTTTAATTCGAAAATTTGCATAATTTTGGAGGTGAAAGAAGGAAGAGGTTTGGATGTGAAGCAAGCTATCTGGACAGATGAAGATACACATTTATCGCAGTGGATAATCACAGCCTTGCTAGCTTTTTGGCGTACCACGAATTATTTTGTATACATATAAAAGTCCAAATGGTTCTCTGACTCCATAGGTTACTTGCCGGCGGACGTGGAAGCTGCGCGTTCCGAACCTGAGAAGCTGATGTTGAATGATATCATGAGACGATACAAAAGTGGAGATGATCTCACGAAACTGGATGAACAAGGTGCAGCACCCGTGAGTTTGTTGTTCGATAACGATTTAAACACGAGTGACTGAGCGTGGAAGCTGCGCGTTCCGAACCTGAGAAGCTGATGTTGAATGATATCATGAGACGATACAAAAGTGGAGATGATCTCACGAAACTGGATGAACAAGGTGCAGCACCCGTGAGTTTGTTGTTCGATAACGATTTAAACACGAGTGACTGAGATGTCGAAATTTATAGCCTAGTTGATTGTCCTGTTAGGCCATTTGTCCCCAGCGCATAAAGTGCAACTTTGTGACTGTGCGCTGCAGTCGATAAGGACTGCAGCCATCTCCTCTTCGGGAACGACCCTCGAGCTGGATTTTCATGTAGCCATTCCTTCTGTCCCTGAAACATTTTCACTAGTCTTATCGATAAATTACTGAAAAAATTTGGCGCCTAACACTGCTCCATGTACAACCGTTGTATGATTATCCACTGAGCACTTGGTGTGCCGGTTAGCTGGGAATACAAACGCTAGACGCCTCAATGTGAAAACGGGCGCGCGAAAAATCCAGAGGCTTTAGTGTAGTAAACCACCATAGATCTGTTCTTATATCCCGGTCGACTGGGCTGCAAATTCTGGTCCAGAATACTGTATGATCAACCATTTGCAGTTTATGATGTTTGACTTGCCAAGGCCTGCTGACAGCAGTTCATTCAATAAAATAATGTATCGTTTTTCCAAAAGGAAACCCTGGATCTTTTGGATACGCTGCGTTTATCTTTCCCGGTTTGTTTTATGATGCTAGTCAAAGAAGATGTGCTTTCAGCCATCTTCGTTCGCCGGTGATCGTTCAGGCCGTCTGTAACTCTGTAACCCCTTTGTATTTATCTTGGAGTCAATGAAGAAACCAAAATCAAAGTACTGATTTTTCCTCTCTGAAACAAACCAATGATCCAGATGTTTGGAAGTAGAAGAGCTTGAGTATGCGGGGGGAACGTAACTTTCCAGTACTTTATAATACTTCATATGGGTGCTCATCTCCAACTACAACGGATTGTTGAGTTTCTTCGTGTTTCAGACGTATAAAACAATTCGCTGATAATGACAGTAGGTCGATGGTGGCGGATTTGTGATCAATCTTCCTCTGGTTTTCAGTTCCTCAGAAAGAGCAGAATAGCTAGTTTTATCAGCGTAGAGATTTCGGTTTCCTGATAGAACCATATTAGTATCATTGTCTCCTTTTTAAGCGTAAAGTAAGGTCCCCTAGAGTTGCTGCTGTTCACCCGGTTGCTCGCTGTTGAAAGCCCCGTGGTGACTGAAAATTGAAGACTAGTAGAGCTCGTAGGATCACCGGTGCAATTGCCTAGGGATTGGGATCACATCCAGCACAGTACTACTCGACAACACTGAACTAATTAAAGATTCATATTAAAGTAAATAGTGACATCCAAATAGTACATGACCAGATTTCAATTTTACAACTTTTTCACGGTTTTATCAGATTCACGTTGCCGCAGCCTGTGGTTACCTTGATGTAGCCAGTGTCTTACTAGGGATCGGTGTGGACCCTGATTCTTTGGACGCAGACGGCTGGACACCTGCTCATGTTGCCGCTTGCTGGAGGCAAGTAAGTTCCTGTCTACCCAAATTGTTTTCATATACATAGGGATAAATATTTCAGTCGGTCAGCTGTGAAGTCACAGAACCTGATTTCATCTTGCTGTCGTACAGGTCCCTCTCCTGTACTTATGCTACAATTCCTTCTCAATGACGAAAATGGAGCCTTGGACGCGTCTTTCGCTATTTCTAGGGCTCATCAGCATCATGAGATGGAACAGAATATGAAATCACCCCATCTGATGTGCGCGTTGACGGAAGTACCTCAGTGTAGACTGCTGAAGAGATGAAACGTTTACGTTTGTACGACATATGAGATTCGCACACATTGCTTCAGTGTCCATATTTCACTGATTACAAAGATTTCAACAAATTCCATATTTTACACTGGAAAGACGGGTCTGAAACACCACAAAGTCAAAGCTCGCCAGTGTGATATGAATCCACTCAGCTTTGTAGGTCAGAATTTAGTTTAGTTTTTTGCACATTGACAAAGAAAACCCATCTGCCATTCTGCTGCTGGTCAGAACGATTTGTTCCCCGGCCGGTGTGCTTGAGACCCGAACGGTACATCCTGTTAAAACTCGTCCCCATTTTAAAATTTTATTATTTTTTCATGGATTTACATGCTGTAAAACACACCGTATACAAATGTAAAAATCTTTATTAAGAAAACTTGGATCGAGTACCGGGTACTTTTTGGGGCCACTTCTCTGTTACGTCCTCTGTGTGATATAGCTTGTAGTTCGGTCCTCGTTCACGTAAGCTCCCAAAACAAGCTTGTTTTTTTGAGGACATAACGTGTACTTTTGGGCACGTCAGGAGGCTGACAGAATTAAAACTAATTGTACCTTGTTCCCTTCTAACAAACCCACTCAATTTGTCCTCCACCGCACTGGATTTTCGAATTCAGACGGTATACTTAGTCAAGCAGATCATAATTTCTTGTCAGTAATTTTGTTATGACTGCCACTCTAGCGTTACTCACTTTACGCACTATATCCTGCCACAAAGGCAGCATTATTCGGAATCCATAATGAGGTGGGAGTATTTTAGGTGATCGATTGAGCACCCACAGATGGTTGTATGGCCATCCAAGCACAGGATACTTGTTTCCATGCCGCACTTGACTTTGGATCTCGGTGGGAAATGAATGGAAAGTGCACAAAACTTAAGAGCAGTTTTTTAGACTTTGAACAAACCTGAATCTCCAACCAAAAATCGAAATATTCCCATGTAGTAGACTTTGGTTTCGATGGCGGCAAAAAAATGTCACATTTTCGTCAGGATCTTTACAGGCTGTCTTTTTTATGCCCACCAACAGATGTTCGAATAGATTATGCTGTCTATAGTGCCAACGCCACATTTCTATTTTCTTGACGTCCCAGAGAGCAACAGTAGTGATTTTGACAGCTTGCGTTGTTTGGAGTCATTTAGGTAGGAAGTGAGATTGAAGAACCAGTAATTCGATGCGTTTTTTGAAATCAGCTGGAACCCAAAAGGATTGTTCATTTAGTGGGTGTTTCCATTTTTCCATCGCTAAGTGGAAGTTTTTCCGCAGTACTATTAAGCCGTCTGTCGCAAAGACGGGATACAAAGTGAATTACAACACTAGCAGCAGATAGGGTGCCATTTATTCAGGATTACTCAACAATGCACAATTTATACATATAGTTTTAGACAGCAGGGCACGACATCAAACAATGCGTGAAATTGCATTTCATAGTGGTTCAGCTTGCATGCGATAAACAGGTGGCGGTCTACCCGGGCCAGCAATTATTCCATAGCATAAAACCAAAACACCAACCGGTCTACCGGTCTTGTAGTATGCGGTAAAGTTATCGAAACTTTCATGAATTTACATGATTGAACAGAATATTTGTACAGATTTCGACCAGTCTCTTTTCAAATTAGAGTTTTTTTTGTGACAATCCTATATGTCCTTGTAAGTATCCTGGAAACTGTTGGCTACCTAAGGAGGTGTTCATGAAAACGGAGTTCATTGTACAGTCGGTGTTTTTTCTATTTCATAGAATAGCATAATCAATTTACAATTCCTAAAGACCGAGTGCATAGAGATTTTAGTATGTTTTTCTTTCAGGATAAAGAGTACAATGGAGACATTTGGCTAAACAGTACTCAGTAGTGATGCACATGGTTGTTAAATACGTGGAAACGCAGGGTTTTCCGTAACTTCGAGCGAACGCGGACCATCGGCTTCACGTTTTTTTCTGCACATACTGAATGAGATTGATCAAAATGTCCGGATAATTCATTTAGTGGCAGAAGGGGCAGCTGTTCATCGACAACCTGCGAGCGCTGCATTTGAATAAAGTGCGTCAAACAATACCACCTTAGGTAGCCCATTTGCTTGCTGTCCATGAACGTGTCTATCCTTACAATATACCTGGAGACGAAATCCTTCTAGGACAGTTGGTGTAACATCAATGTAATTCTAGCTGTATTATCAAGCGTTTGTCGGTTCGGCTGGTTCAGACCATAATTTGTAGCCAGTTTTGCAAGATAACTCGGTTATTAAGCTTATTCAGTAACTTAACATCACAGCAAGGAGTGTTATGGAACCTGTCTCCAATGGAGGAAATAAGAAGCAGGAAACCATTCATCCATATGTCCTGACTTCCGAGTGTTAAGGTATGATAATTCAGATGAATTTACTGAGTTCTAGTGAACTTTCGGGAAACTTCCCCATATCATACACAGGAGACTGAAGTTCACATTCCGATGGAACCATGAATGCTTACTGCCAATAAAATCTATTTGGACAAACCTCGAGTTCAACTGTTTTACCTAGGACACCCACATTTGGACAGAAAGGGAATTATTTGTACCAGACGGCCGTTTGCGCCAACAACTTGAGCTGGGCTGATCGAAACCGACTTGTGAGAAAGCAAGGGAGTTTGGGCGGGTCAACCCTTACTGCTCAGTGGATAGGTATTGCTAAAACATAAACTGTCCTCTTGTCCTATTTCTACACATTCTACGGGAAGTCCAGGACTCCAAGAGTTTTCACCAGAGCCAAAAATCGTTCATTACCTTGTATCTGAAGCGGAGGCTGCATTTGTAGGCGCAGAAAACTTGAGACACCTTTTTCATTCCACTAATAAAACACTTGGATGTTTTGGGTTACAGGGTGAAACCACAGGGAGGTTTACTGAACGCCCTCCAAAAAGGGGTCCCGTATTTTTGTTATACCAAACTGTGCTTCAAAATGCAGCGTAGTACTTCACCTAGGCTGTAATGAAGTGCCTATAGATTCATTACATTCACACACTCATGAATGACAGTTAGTAATGCAGCTGATGTATTCACTCGTCGGTTGCCCACCGCTCAGACTTTGATGAAAGGTGAACAATAATTGCTTGGTGGCTAACCCTCCACAGGATGGGGTCATGATACCGAACTAAATTCATTTCTCTTCGCCGTGATCTCCATGCAGTTAACTATGATCTTTTTTCCGGAATGCACTTTTGGTGGCAGACGTATACATGCTTATGCCGTATAAGTGTGCCACTGCAAGCGATTCCCATACTGAATGCTTTGATTCATTGACAAAGCTATGACAGAAGTCCCTTCACACTGATAGACGGTTAATTCGTTCTTTTGAACAGCCTTACCGCCCACTGGCCACGTACCAGAACGTACAGTCGAAGGAGGCGTGTACGCTTCTGGCCAGCAATGAAAAAACTATTAACACAATGTGATTGTTTCACCAAGAATATTTTTTTCTATTTTCCTAGTCTATCCCGCTTCTCCTCTTTCTTTCTGTAGGACGAGGTAGTCCAAACTCTGGTTGCTTATGGAGCTGACTTATCGCGCACTACTCCAGACGGACAGACCGCTTTTAGTGAGTTTAGAAATGAATTCCTGATACTCCTCCAGAGCAATGAGCCTGAAAATGCAAATGAGTCGCAAAGTCAACCAACGATAGGTAAAATTGGTGGGATGCGACGAACCCATCGATACATACCACTTCTGATTTACCTGCTTCAAATTATTGATTTGGAACTGGAAGATAAAATAATGATAAATATTCAGTTCGTTTGATTTACGTCACAGACTAGCCCACTACGATTTGTACAGTCTACCAACAACTACCGCTAACTAAGTTCATCTGTTTTTCTCCGCAAATCAGTTACTTTGTGAATTGCGTTATTCGTTTTACCCATGGTTCAACAAGGTTGTGGTATCCCATGTCTCATGTCGACTAATTTAAATAGTTAAGACCAGAGGATCTGGTGGTGTATTGGAATGAGCAACTGATCGGTTTTATAGTTACTAACCTTTGTGTCAGTTTGGAAAAGTTGAAGAGATCCTACCTACATACTGGGATATCATTGGTGAGCACAACATCAACCGCGCAGTGATGAATCCTCCATGATGGCTGACAAATTTTTTACTGGCAAATCACCGAGCTGGGCAAACAGATCTACAGCCACCTGATCTACAGCTTACCCGAAATATTTCCAGACCTTTGCGTAAAGCAGGGTTTCCACTGGCAAGAATACGGTGTGTTGCTTTACTGTCGACATCAAGTGAACACTAGATTACGACTGGCACCGCGAGTTCTGTCAACGCATCCCAGCGTGAACGAAAGAGCTGAGAACCTATTCCTGGTGTTTTGGTCTTTCCAGAATACTAACAGGCTATAAATGGTCACAATATCAGTCATCTAGAAAACAGATATTCACTGCACCGCGCTGAAAATAAACAAAGATGCAAAGAGACAACCTTCCTGGATCCTCGGGCTGTCGGGCTCCAGCCAGAACGTCTTAATGAGCAGCCGAATATCCTCTCGCAAGGACTTTCGAAATGCGTTCGCACCACACCCATTTCCTATTCCATTTTTCTCACTTTTAAGAACGTCCGCTTAATAAACACGAAGACGATACCAATCTTACTGGGTCCTCGCGGAGTGTACGCCCTTCGTGTACCTAATGTTGTGGATCACAGTTTTCCTAATGCCTTCTTTTTACCGTAAACCCCAGTCTGGATAGCCGCTTGATAGCCGGATGCGCGTGACCAAATCAGAAAGCCCATGAACGTGCGAATCAGCTGATCTATTGAACACTGACGCATACAAACAGCCGAAGACGAGCTGCTTATAAAGCTCATGTGATAAGTTCTGGGTGGGTCAAACAAATGATAATAAAAATAGAACTCATCTGTCAAGGACAAATGAAGAAGATTCAATTAAGCCTGTCCCAAGAAAACGGCTATTACGTTGGCAGTTGTGTAGTCCAGTTACGTTCGGAGCTTGTTCTCCTAAAACTTAGAATCAGAATACTACTGCATACTTTATCTGATCCCAATTTTAACGAATATTTTAATTAATTTGGAAGATTCTAATGGTTCCCCTTGTCCCTGTGAGTTGTGCGGTGGTCATTATTATAAGTAAAGAATTCAGCTGCTAGTTACAGGTATCTCTTGACCAAGGCTTTCTTTTCATCAACAAACAATTACAGACATTTGAAAACAACTTTCGTTGATGCATGTGGTGGGGTTTGCGGGATGTGTATTGTTCACATTCACATTGCTCTCGTTTGAACAGTCGTCCTCCGGCACGGTCATTGGATATGCCGTGCTGATAAGCTTTAATAAGAGCAAAACTCGACTTCAATGCCCCCCCCCCCTTTTGGTGTGGATTCACCAGGATAATCGCGCCAGGACAGGAGAACGACTGTTTAAACGTAATGTGAATGTGAAAATTTTACATCCCGCAAACCCCACAACATGCATTAACAAAGTTGCCCAGCGGGTTTCAGGCGTCTGTCGCGCTACCTGACTGGGAAATCCTGACAAGCGGGCCAATCGATTGCCACAATCAGAACAGTTAGCGGGTCGTCGTATCGATCACACTGCTCAAGCGTGAGCACGTTCGCCCGTTCAGACGTGGGAATTAAGATGCGCCCAACGTGCGCTGGCGGAATAGTGGTAACATGTTCGCCTCGGAGTTCAAACCCGGATAAGGCCATTGGATATGCACTGTTGATGAGATCTAATAAGAGCGAAACTCGAGTCCAGTGCTTCCCCCACTCTCTTTGGTGTGGATTCACCAGAATAGTTACCCCAGAACAGGAGGACGACTGTTCAAACGAGAGAGAATGTGAACTTTCGCTGAGTTAGAAGTGATTAATTGGTTGGAGAGGAACAGCTGGATTTCCTGTCAGGACAACGATACTCAACTTCCGCTCAGTAAAACACACTGGTGCATTCAGATAAAGACCAACTGAATCTGACTTTGTAGGCTGATGTAAATTCACGACAATCAATCATCCTACGTTCGGTTGGTTTCACTGCGACCGCTCTTCTACCACGCTTGTTGAAATCCCTTACACTCAGAGGAATATCTAAATGCAAAGTCATCCCAAACAGGATTATTCCATAAACACAAATCTCTAAAACACCACCGCAAATGCGTCGCTACATTATCAGTTATGCGTTACACCGGTGACATTTACTCCGCAATGGAATACCGGTGTTGACGAGTGTGATCTGGCATTGAAGGCAAGATAGAATACTCAAAATATGAAGCACACTTTGTACCCAAAAAGAAGCAAAATACTGGTAAAATAATCAGAACGTGTGCCAAGATAGTTGACCATGGCTAGCGAAAGGTAGGACAACATTCAGGTTAGACAGAGTGATGATCGCATACTGCACCAAACCGTTTCATTAATTCGAACAATTGAGAGCGTGTTATTTTGATGTATGTCGGGATCCGTGAGGTCACTGGTAAGTCTGGATGAGATCATAAGTTATACGGAATGGCATCCAGGTGCTGGCTGGACTCGTTACAATTCACATACACAAAACAATTGTGGCCTTTGTATTAGCTGAGGAACATCAGCTGCAATAGATATTCTTCGGGTAAAGAAAGTGGATAAAAGTCATTCCGTTGACCAACTAATCAAGCTTAGTAACCACCCGGGTTCTCCCTTCCACCCTATGAACCGAAATTGTTAAGAGTACCGCCGAATCGCTCATGGCAGCATGTAGTAAAGTGCCCTTTCATACCTGGTCAGATACACTGTTCTTGTAGGGGCCAACCATCTTCTTTAGGTCGCCTGAGGAGTGCAACCATGATAAACCGTCTGACGTCTCAGCTTACATGATATGAGATCTTTGATATTTTTCATAGCTAACAGGCTCCAATACATCGACACAAAAGTTTGGGCCTCTTCGGGGAACTGGTGCTTTACGCATCGATTTTACAGCCTCATTACAACGCAGAGATAATGGTTGAATCGCGTTAAGTCATTATCAGCAATGTTGAGAACATGATGTATAAATTGTGACTCTGGAACGCCAGAATCTGTTCCAGTACTGCAACAGAGAAGGTTTCGGCGGAATATGCACTATAGGGAGCCAAAAATTTAAGATATGGACTTTATACATCTGGCATAGGAGCTCCCGGGACGATTGTGAACAACCTAGTTTTTTTTCGTGAAAACGGTGTTCTGAATATGCGGGAACAAAAAGCGAGCGATGAGGGCGGACCGGTCAGAAATGAACATATACCAGAAGGGTTGATGCATTGACGAGAGCAAGCAAAATTTAAGAAGAACTGCCTTCTGAAATTAAAGTAGTTGCACTGTGTTAATAGCAGTTTTACCATTTGAAAGCGATGAACCCATATATATTTGTACAGCCTTACCCCTATGGTCCGGAACTGCTTGGAGGTTCCGTAAAGACAAATCCTGTCTGCCATTTTAAAACTCTTCCTGAACATCTCATTGTTGGAACTTGTCACACTGTAGCCTATTAAAAGAGAGAGGCTTGGTCAGAGGGGCCTAACGAATTCTTGGTTTCCTGTTGCAATCTGATAGCTCTTAAAATAAACATTTAATTGTAACAGAAGCACACTATTTTTATATGTTTTATACCCAGCCCTCTTTTATCTCCTCTGAAGTTCAGTTGATGATTAAACTCGATCAACTTCTGCAACCATAAATATTCGATTCTTTCTGTCAAAATCTGGTTAACTGAGTCAGACACTGCAAAATTTTCGGTGCCTCTAAAATCTGTCATTTGTCACTTACCATTCAGTATTGCCCCTCCCTTTGAGCAGCCCTGTCGCTTATCTCCACAGCCACTCACGATAAATTAATAAATATGGATTTTCTGAAAATCCACTGTGATCGGATTCCGGGTTACAAGAGAAGAGTAAGCTTTCGCCTCACAGTAGAGTGATGAGTCTGTTACGGTAATTAGATTGAAAATCGCCAGATCAATCCGAAAGGATCGTTTCATATTATCAACCGAATACCTAGTAGATTGCAAGTGTTGATCCACCAACCTTGCTTGAACCAGTAAGACTGCGAGATCAGGTTCCATACTATGGAAAAAAACAATTCATACGAACTCTGAATCTGCCCCCGTCATGTGATACAAATCGATCAAGCCAGAAGCTCAACGTTCCGCGAATTGAGTATGACCGACGAACATTCGTCCACATTTCCTCGTTTCCTAAGTTGTTAATCGCTAACGCTTTTTTCTTCTTTATTCACTCCCAATGTAAACATTAGTCAGATGCATACCTGGTTGAAAGACGCCGGAAACATTTTTGTTCGTCACAGTGTTCTTATCGAAACTATCGGAATAGTTAAGCTCGATAACCCGTCTGAAACTGGAGTTATTAACTCACTGGTTTATTTAGCTCATTAGTTCATTAGACAGGATTTGTCAGCAGTAAATGTTGACGAAATGATGGAAACTCTCTCCTATCCTGAGGCTTTGCGGGACAGAATAACCCACTGTGTCGATTAGTACGACTGAGAAGTACAAGAGCTACGAAGAAGAGCAGACTAGTTCTGAGGCTTCCATAATTTCTACCGTCACCTATGTCATCAGCTTTCTATGGTTTACCCAACAGTGCCTTTTTCAGCTGATCTAAGCGCTCATCAGATAGCCTTTATAGATGAGGAACAACTTATTTCTCTAGATATGGTTGTCTAATAAGCTGGAAAAATCAGCTGGACTGTCGGAAACACAGTTGAGCTTTGTTTAAATGATTGAGCACACAAGAAATGAAAGTGTCGGCTGCATTGACAAGCAAATCCAAACCAGCCAAAGTTGATCTTACACTCTATAATACATTTTATGATTTTCCGTCTCACATAGTAGACCGGTTCTTTGTACAGAGAGCCACGTCGTCAAGCTCACTAGACAGTATCAGGAACGCGTACCAGGAGTAACCAATAAAGATATTTCTTATAGACATCCCGCTTACTACAGCCAGACAAGAAGCAGTTTCCTTCCCAAATCACATCTCGTGGTTTCCGGAGTAAGCTGGTATCTCTTGGGAAGCGCCAAACTAACTCAGTCCATCCTGGGGATTTGTCATTCTATCCATAAATCCAATGGTGTGGTTTATGAGACCACGAAAAAATGTTCCCTTTGGGAGGGGTTATTCCCATCAGGAGAGACCGGGGAGCTTTAATGTACCTGATATCAACATTGCACTGGTGGCAGAATTATAATTAGTACATCGAAAGTACAGCGCTTTTTAGTGACACGTCGATGCAGTATGCTTGCTAAGTAGAACATTGTCTGATTGTGAAGGTACTTTAATTAACCCAATCGTCAGTACTGAATAGTATCTCTTGCCTCTAATTTGTGATAACCCCGTTAGCACCAAAGAATGTTTGAATTATTTAAAATTACCGATCAACTTTTCTTGGTCCACATTTTGATGTTGCCTCGCGGTTGCTAGTTCTTCACTTGTCTGCAATGCAATCCAATGAAAGTCCAGCCGGCGCTTGAATGTTCCCTTCCGTAACGCAAAACTCCTATTATCAGACTTATCAACAGTGGAAATGTTACGGAAATGTGTGCGAAGTGTACAATACCGACACACGACCTTCTGATTCTGAGCGCCCCCACCTTTGAAAGCAACAATTCATCATTCTGGGTAAATTTCTTTGGTCTGTGATCCAATCTTACATCCGTCTGTAGATTTCGTCCATTGCACAATTAAGAAATCAAACAAAGAATAACACGTTTTTCAAGTCCTACCGTCTGAGACAGGTCCTGATTACGTGTATTCCAAATTGCAGGTTTATGTGAAACAGACGAGCAACAGGAGCATCTGCTTGAGATATGGAACAATCGGGAAGCTCTCAGAATGCAACTGGAAGAGGACAGTACTTACGCGCCACCCCGAGCGCTCCAGCGAAAACGCAGGTGAGTACTGCTCAATTTACCATTATTTTCTGTGTTCCAAAAACCGGAGTATGAAATTACGTTACAGAATTAACTTTTTGACCGGAGATTTTGTGAAGCCTGATACATCTCGGTGAGCTTGAAAATCACTGACAGAGGCAATTCAGCCTTCATGAACTCATGCATTGTTTAGTCGATATCTATCAAAAAATACTCTGACTCGCCGTCTTGACCATTGCTTTCTCAAAACAAAAGCCTTCAAAAATCAGAATATGTTCATTCAACCGACGGTTTCACTCCCCTCCATGAGTGGTCATGAGAGAATTCAATTCTAGACGTTCACCTATATGCGTAATCTCATCAAACGTGTTCACATTTTAGGGAAGTGTTTCCACTAGCCTAATTCTTAAACGGCGTTCTCCGTCCCTAAGACACATTCACACTAAAATGTCGAATATTCGTCTCCTTTCCAACGAAGAATTTTTTTCTCTTTGACGAAGCTAGCTGGAGAACTGGGGTTGTTAATAAACGGTGTCACCTCGAGGTTCGCACATTAGAGGCAACAGACATTCGTGAGCAGTCTCTTTGAAATGTCGTTCGTGAACAGTCTCCCTGCGTCATTCCACGTATTGGTTGTTCATGAGGGAGACGAATTTTCAGCAACATTCTCAGATGCAACAAATAATGTGTTCGTCAGTATTGAGGAGGATAGAAACTTTGAACTAATAATTCATCGCTTGTTTGAAGTCGACCTATGCTGGAATACTCAAAATCAGTTTGCCGTTAGTTCCTATTTGATAAATATCATCAGCAGTGTGCACCACATTAATCTCTGGATTCAAGCCGGAGAATTTCTTGTTGGTAGCCCACAAGTTCTTCATTAGATGAAATGCAGAGCACAATGCCGCCATCAGTCAGCCAAATCTCTGCGGTATGAATCTTTTGTCAAGTGTTTTAACAGGTGGAGCCCCAGGTATTGATGCTAAGAGGAAGAGAGACGATAGAGATGGCGCTGCGGAAACTTCATCTGATTACGGTCTATTTTCGAAGCCTCCGTCAAAAATGTGTACTGTCCTCAATTTCATCATCATGCAGTTTGGACCTATCAGTGTTTGCAAGCAGCCAAGTAAGCCCGGATCTAACTGTCCAACTAGCTTCAATAAATAATTTTGGTGCTGACAAACGCGAGAAAGCCCTTCAGGAGGAAAAATCCTTTGTAATGAGACCATTTTGATGGTGGGAACAAATCCCGCTAGATTGGTCGATTCGTTCCCAAAGAGACGCATTGCCTCTGAGGTCAGCGATATACACATATTCAATTTTCAAGTTAAACAGTTGGTGCCTGTAATTAACCCCGACATGTGAGTGAACGCACTTTGGTTGAATTCCACTAAGGTGTTCAACACGTTAGCACAGGAGTTGAGAGTAGTATCGTCCTTCGGAATGTCATAGTTGAGGCACTGAAAGGAATGAAGATGTGGTGGAGGGAATGGAATGTACAACAATAATTTGCCATTTATCAAGTTCCGATTAATCATGATTTTTCTTTGGGCTAAATCGGACCGCTGCATCCTGATCAGTTTTGTCTTTGCGATGCTTTTTACCCTGACCGGGCGGCAAAAGATTAATGATGCCTGCTTGAAACAACTGAATAGGATCCACAAATAAATAGACACCAGAAACTGTCACCAAAAACATTGACAAACTGCACCGAACAGAAAATTCTATGGCATCGATTAGGTTGAAAATGACGGATCGCGTCCATTGAATTAGAAGAAATTCTCAGCACAATTTCACTCGGAGCCAGGATCGACAAGATTCCTCGGTCTACATGAAAGGACAGACATCTTACAATCAACACTTTCTTACCAATCTTCTCACACTGTGCCCTTGTCAGGTTTGTTGGAGATCCCTCGACAGATACTTTTAGAAAGGCAATCCTAATTGCAATTATGCACTAATACGCAACAGCTGTCGGTTACACCAGTTTAATTTGCAAACTCCGCTTATATGCAGCTGCACATTCAAGTAGAAAATAGGATTGCTGAGAACCCGAATACTGCGCTCTTCTGACGAGCCCGGAGAACAACGAAGCCGTTGATGGACGGTTTTCATTAGTAGTGCTCTACCACAGAAAAGGATGTGCACGTGTTTTTGTAAGACAAACTATGGTAAAAGTCACTGCTTAACCCAGCATATAAATAAAAATGCTGTTCTACGACGCGGAATACGATTTTCTGCTTCCGTATTTAAAGAACTCTTTGCTCGCTTTGGAGGGGGAGCCGGTTATTCAATATGATTTGTTTCACAAAATCGTTTCACTCCCTTATACTTCCCCGGCTAATCAGCTCCCGTTGTTCCTGGTTTTGCTAGACACTTTTGCAATTACTGAATCACTGATCCCCCATAATAGAAAACAGCTTTATGCGTTTACTAGAAACAATCCGATAAAAGGCTGGACACACTCAGTCAGGGGCTGTCGTTTCTAACAAAATATACCGTTAAGCCTAGTGTCGCTTGAAATGGACTGCGATCAACACAAGCAGTAAGCGCACATTACAACCACTGTTTTCACCTCACATTGCGCAACCCAAGCAGTAATCCGACTGAGAAACTCAGCACGTATCCAGCCCTTTTGAATCCGAGAATAACGTACAACTAGTCTACTAGATTGGTCTTTTTCTGATATTCCCCAGCCGAATGGATTCACTCCGGGCTTCACGCATCCTTCTGCAGTTCTAATGGATTCACACTCTCTATTCGGTGACATTCAAGGCGCCCAAGTCATCACCAATCGCGTTCGGTTGTGAACGAGGTGATCACTGCTTACGTAGGCTGACTCAGCGTGGGGCTTGTTAAAATTTCAAAAATCCCACTTCTAGTTTGACGAACTTCACGTACAGAAAGTGCGAAATTATAGGGAAGTTATTGAACGCAACTTCCGTTGGTTCTAATGAGATCCGTGTATTCTCGAAAAATCGATTTCAGTATAAACGAGTTCAAACGCGAATATATCGCCATCCCATATTTCGTTGTACGAGAAAACTAAAACAGACTGCCTGCATTCCATGCGATACTGTCAGGCTTCGCACGGTACAAGGGTATTGTTCCCGATCACAACTAGAATATCGCAGCTTCTGGGAGGAAAGTATACTACATGGGCTACTTATTCTCTCTCACCAACGTTCTTGTAGTACCATGCAATCGGTCTACTCACATCCATAATGATCACCTCAAGTCTGCTTCCCCTTCCCAAATGAAGAACCTCCCATCACTGAACGAACACGTAGTTGTGGTCTCGCGCAATGTACCCTTCAGTTGATGTGGAAGACCAACCGTCACTAAACTATGATGGGAATTTTCGGATAATTGTAGCCCTAATGCTCCACCACAGGGATACTATTTTTAAAAAATAAGGGCATATGATGGTCGCGGAGGTCTTGACAGAGTCATGAGAGGTCTTTTTAGATCACCTCTGATGCCATATTATTACCGACTGAGGAGAATGACAGTTGACCCCACCACATGCATAATTAGTCACTCGGTGGCTTTGTGTTACAGAGGACGGTGAGCTAAAGGAGCCCTCGGTGATGCACCACTTCAGCCTCCTGACCGACGTCTTTAGACGACCAAGCTACGAAGAAAATATCTTTCCTCTGTTCAGCTGCGTTGAACATTCCCTCGTATCTTCTCAAGTGGGACTTTATAGAGTAGATGTACTCAACCTATGCTGAAAAGGTTAGGAGTGGTGTTCACCTGTTTCTTCATTGGCAGTCCTCAGAGGTGCGCAGGAAAATCCATGGAGTTTCAAACCCCCGTCTTCCCAGCCAGTAGTTTGAACACCTAACTGTTTGGGCACGAGCGGCTCGCAATTGAGCAGAACATATCGCCACTCGTCCTTTGAACAATGTATTCAAACGTCAGTGATGGTATTTCCTCAGGGCTAAGCCATGGAGTATACGATTTGTCTTATCAACAAGTGTGCAATTTTCTATTCACGCGTACCCAATTTTCTATCAGAGTCAGAACCAAAGTGTAACAGCTAGATGCGAAAACTATCTGTCCAATGAAAGCTCGCTACCGTGCCTTAAAACGACCTAACAGTTCAACTTTTGGGTGAATTCCGTCGTAATTACTGGACCATCTCGATATCCCACACTAGTTTCATCCAGTAAGAAGATAGCCAGTCAGTAGACATTTCGCTGATAGTTCACGTTGATAAAAAAAGACAAGTGAGCAGGAATTGATGCCACAATCAGGTGGAATGTACGATGAGGATTTTGAGCGATACAGGTATTTTTTATGTGAACTTGCACGCACCCTAACCGTATTATGGCGTGACCTTGGTGGAATAATTTGTTTAGTCATAAACCAATACTTCCATAATTGACTGAATTCAGTTACCAGTGTACTCCTTGTTCCCAAACAACAGCACCATACTTTGGATTTGAATCCGGTACGATTTCGGATGAGTAGGTTCCACGTGCCACGTCAAATGAACAGCCGTTACAATTTGAATTAAGTAGGAGACTTGCAGACAGGCTCACAAGAGAAATAATCGAAATTTGCAATTAGAACTGTTGTTCAACTGACTCAAATTAGCGATCAGCCTGTTCGACTGAAAAATATAACAAACTATTGAACATCAAGCATAATCGGCAACATAACATGCCCGAATATGTCTGCTTACGAAAGTAGCTTCCCTGATATTTCCACAGACTTACTCAGTGTCACGAAATGTCAAGTGATCTGTGGCAGACTCATGTCGCGTTTTGAAACCGTAGATTGAGAGTGGATGGAGGAAAGTGAAAATAATGGGTGGGCTGTACATAACTATTCACAACAACTCAAAATTTCATGGTTCGTTCTCCACAGTTCATCTTCCGTGCATCGGAGTTCACTTCGAGAAAAATCAAACTTCTCCAAACGAGAAGTACTCAAGGAAATGGAAATTGCCCGTAAAACCGGCCAGTTGATAAACACCGACGTGATGAACGACGCATGTACAGATCATGAATCAGGGCGCCCTCGAACAACCTACCCTGACGCAGACACACGTCGAGGCAGTTATCACTCAACCTCCAGCGACACCGACGCCCAGGCGACTCCTAAGCTAAGGAAGCCTACAGGACAACAAAGGGATCAAACTATCAAGATCATCAGACCACCCACTGGATACGACTCGGTGTTTATGAATAGTATGCATACTGGGTCGGAAGGCCAGCGAACTGGTAGAGAAAATGTAAGTGGATAAACAAGTGATACCTGTGAATTTCAGGGCTTGTGAAATGAAATAAGTGGTTTTCAAGTTCCCGGCCTTAAAACATATGACGATTGTAGAAATTTTGTATAACTCTAAATGGGTTCGCTGACAGCAGTGCACGAGACAAACGCCCCAGTAGAGTTTTTACGGCAGCCTAACAAGTGCGAAATTGTTGATAGATTTGCCGACCAGGAGCCTACACCTCACATGAAGCTAAGAAGCGATTAGCTGTGTGCAAGAAACGCACTGCGTGTGCAGAGTGCTGGCGTGTGAAATATACTTCACTTTTAGCTATGACTGACTACCAAGTTATTCGACCGTTATCCGTTTACATGGGATCGAAACCTTATAGTTTCTGGGGACTCGCTAATTCAGAAGACAACTGCTGCACCAGGTATGAGAACTTACGCCATGCTTGGTCCTGTATGTCTAGCTGATAGCCAAGGATTGTCAAATCCAGTGGCCTTGTGTTACCTTCCTTTCAACACACTTCCACTCATCTGTCATACACTTGGCCACTTATGGTCACTACCACTTAACAGCGATGGCCCTATGGTGGTCTTATGTGACCACTTTTGAGCATGTCCAGCCACGTGACAATCCTTGGTTTGAGGCCAACACCGATTGTCGTTCAGCTTGCAGCGTACCACCACAAACAAAGTGACAAACACGCATTCCAACTCGAAATTACAGTAGCTTCTCTTCAACGGTGATACACTTGCTCACTTGTCAGTTTTGGTGACAACAACTAGTCCACTGTTCCCATATTACAGACAATTGCAGGCAAGCTATCGATTATTGTTTCAAACCATCCATATTGACAGCAAATACTGGCTGGTCAGATTCAGACCTATTCAACGAATCACTATCACAACTAACTAGTGAACCAGGAGAACAAGGGTACAAATTTGTGTCTCGACGATCACCTGACCAACTTCAATGTGAGCATCACAAAACCCTAAATCAGAGAAAAGCATCAGTGAGAGTTTTCAATCCGAGATTAAATCACTCATATCGTGCATTTAAGACTGAGGTCGTCGGTTGTCTACAGACGATAAACTTTACAACAATTTTTCAACCTGTTTGCACAGTTCCGTAAACAGATTGTCTATTGCGGCTTTTGTCTGTACCCGCTGCCACAACAGGGATAAGCAGATGTTGGTCGATTTCAGCTGACCTAAGCAGTTTTCATCCAGACGATGGGACACCAACCTCCGCCCACTCAGCGCTGTTTTTACTGTGACTTTGGGAACAAACTGAGCAATCTTCATGGTTGGAAGAGGGAAATACCTAAATCTCATGCAGTGTCAGACTGTCATGTGGCCCTTTGATAACCGTGTGGATTCTGTTTGTTTCGTCCCATGTTTTCTGTCACCATGGCGTAAAATGAAGTAATATGGTAAAGCACTTGACTATCTAGTTTCGTCCAACTCAGGGCTGAGCGCCCTTGGGATGGGGGTAGAAAAATGCATTCGAAATATAACCTGGTAATGGATACTGAATTGTTGGCGATCTCTTTGGATACAACCTTCAACAAGACCTTATTCTAGGGAAAAGTTGGCAGCCCAAAATTTGTGATATGCCATTTAAGCTTCGGACCCGGACAGTGAAAACCTGGTCCAAAAAGTCAGTTAGCCCGTCAATGTAGCTAGAATACGAGTTACCACCACCAATGTTCCACTCGCAAGACGCCGAAGCGAAGTTTGTTCTTCTTTGGTAGTAGCATCATTCATGGACGGAAGACTTGTAATTGAATGTGTATTCTCGTTCCTATTGTGCTGGAAATATCCCGCTGATGTGCAATATTACGCGTATCCTCAGCCTACCCGATTATAGAGTGAACTGAATGTTATTCACTTCCTATCCAACGAAAACCTATTAGATATGGCCAGGTTAGTAAAACTATCACAAATTTTTAATGATACTACTGCGGTTATAAGAATATCTTCCTCCTATTTTGTTACTCCAGTTCCCGCAAGAAGTTCGTACTTCCCCCGCTGTTTCAAACGACACTATAACTGGGAGCGGAACTGTACCATCCAACCGTGGGAGTCAAGTATCTCAGAGTAGACAGAAAATCAACATAGTCGACCACCGTGACACCCCAGAAAACCGGATCCGACGAACATCGAATGAGCGGATGCGAGGAGACGCTACGTCCGACCACCGACTGACAACAAAAGACGAGCATAGACTGACCACTTCAGACAGCCCAAAGCCCCAATTACTCACACCATACGAGGCTAAATCGAAGGTCATTGCACAGTCGGAACAATCAGTACAGGATGCAGGTTCCTATTCACATATTCCAAATTGCTGTCGAAACTGTACCATACTCTAAGCTGGGCTGTTCGTCACTAAGGCATAATGGTCAAACACAAAGTACGACTTGTGATACTCTCCAAAAAATTCGAAACTGAATAAGTCCTCCAACTATAAGCCTTAAAAGGCAGCAAGGTGGATACATTTACTTCCACTCCGAATGCATCCACCCATATGCTGTTGCTCTGACTGTGAAATGACCAACACTTTATTTTTCAGAAGCTTGTGTGTGTTCCCATGTGGATAATCGAATTTTTGAGCCCTCCTTATTTATATTATCCTACCCCATTGTTTCCTTATCACCTCCGTCCGAAAACTTAACAAAAGCAGTGGAGTGCCATTTTCACGCACCTGTTAATGAGTATTTTATATTTTTATGCGCGTGTCAACGTGCGACCCCGCGAAAAATCATGTTTTTGTACTTTGACATTCCTAATTGACACTGACAAATATAAAGTGCCATCGACTCAAGTAAGCATCGGAATGACATGCAGATTATGGCGTGTCAACAGCTGTGAACGCAAAGGTTTTACGCACCATTAGTGCTCTGTGTTAAGGACCTCATTCTCGAATATATTTATCCGGTTTAAGGTAAAATCGCCTCTGAATCTCGCTAGTTCTAGATTATTAGTGAGTCACACTGGGCCAGTTATTAGTCGGGGAGCTTGCACAACAATCGACTCACTTTCTAATAGTTTTGGCTAGCTTTTGCTTGCACTTTACCTCTAGGTTGGAGTGGGATATAGTCGACTTTAAATCGTGAGCAAAGCAACAGCTCAATATCATCTAAAACCCACTTAAAGACATTGTAAGTTCTAGTCCACTTGGTATTGCTTCAAACAGTGTTGCAGTTTCAGGATAACTTCACTGAGTTGGATGTACCACACATTTCACAAAGAATACCGAAATATGTTACAGAAAGCCGGCCAAAATCGTCAACTACACAAACAATAATTTCTAGTGCGAAATCGGTCGTGTGGATAGTGAATAAAACGCTCGAGCCACAGTTAGCAGAGTTATTTTAGTAGAACGAACGGAAGAAATTTGATGCACTACGATAACATTTATTTTAATCTCTTCATTCGCAAATGTAGAACAGCCAATTACATAAAAAGAGTAGAGACAATATCGAGCAGGCACTGGTTGGTTGGTTTTCGCAAGCAACCTGACAAATGTCAGGGTTGCCTCGTTTGCCTCAGTCGTTTTGGCGCGCGGGGTGGCAAGGAATTTATTCCACAGAGCGAGGAGACCATTCACGGAGGATCAACCGGAAAAAGAGGAATTTTTGAAGAAAATTCCGCTGAACTTCACAGCAGAGACTGAACAAAAAACACCCCCGTTCATTCATTCAGTAAGAAAGTCTATATACCTGTTTCTTCAGCTCAAAACGATCGAAACCAGAAGCGTAAAAGCGTGTTTATACTGCGGCCGGGCTGCGTCTTATTCCGACCACCAGTTTTGCTCTACGAAAAATGGAGCCTAGGTTGTTCAATCTATCTACCTTCTATGCAGTCTACAACGTCGCCTGCAACTCACAAGATGCTTACGACAGGACAGACAGACACCTCGCGGGACATGCGGTAGAACATATTCAAAGTATGTGATCCAGATGCTAGCAGGTTAACCGTCGCGTCAAAAGTCAAATGACAATCCTGCATCATCATTAGCCAGACATATGATGGATACTGGCCATCGTATTGACCCGGTAAACTCTTTTTGAATCGTATCATGCAACACAGCCCCCTTCCCCTAATGTTTAACGAAGCGCTAGTGACCATACAGAAGACTATGTTCACAAACGCCTTGGTTGCCCTCGCATTGGTCAGGTCACATGCAGAAAACGACAAAAAGCGTCTGTTCAACATTAGTTCTACTGTTCGATTATACAACTTGCTTGTTTTACGTTCATGACCGTCACACGTCTTTCAGTTTCAACGAAAGGGATAAGGGAGACAGTGTTGCAAATTTCTTAAAAGAAGTCTCCCTACCTTAGTTATCGGGGTTAGTTGATTCATTCTTATCGGGTTTCTTTGAACGTCCTCAGCCTCTAATCAGATCTGCTCACATGTGTTGTGGGTGGCACCAACAAATAGCTCCAAATTACCTTTACTGACGTCATCTTCTTCATATTTCTTGTAGTTTTTATCAGGCTCATAATTATTGGGAGCGGATTTTGCCGATGGTATATCCACTCTGAGAACATTCGCCTGAAAGCTACATCCCATTTTTTCGAAGCTTCTACAGTCCTGATGGACAATATGCGGGAAGACCAAAAGAGAGAACACACGATGCGTGAAAAAATGCTTTTATAGACAGACGCCTGTGGGGATATCAGTGATAAATCACTGGTTTATGTTGACTTTTTAAACCCTCCATGAAACAGTCGGTGTTGGGGGAGAAAATGGCTCACCTGTAACATCCTTTCGGTGCCTAGCTGCCATGTCAGCCAAAGGGCTAGGATAATGCCAGGTTGCCCAAGCCTAGACAGGAGAATTCGAGAGGCAGATGTCGGGTCTAAACCACGGACCCTCTGGTCAGTAAAATCGTGCTCTAACCACTTGAGCCATTTCGCCCCCTAAGCCATCCCGTGTTAGGGAATCAGATAGACGGACGTGAAAAAGCATCAGCATTTCGGATTCGTCTTCTTGCATTATGGGGTTGGCCAATCTAGCAGTATCTCAGTCCTCGTGCTGCTTTCGGGCGGTATGGAAGCTAGGCACCAAGACGACGTTACAGCTGAAAGGATATGATTAGTATGGCGACCGTGGAGGACAACAGATTGAACAGCGGATTCCTAATCATTCCCCTGCCAAATTATTTCCCGTGATGGACATACCCGAACTAAGAACTCCTGATAGCCGACTGAATATGCTGGACTAACATTTCGTGACCGAGATTCGATCCTCATATGGGGGTGTTCAAACTGGTTTCTGAGAACCGGACTCCGAAATAAAGACGTGAAAAGTAACACATTCCTTTTTGTGTAGCCGTGCGTCTTCCATATTCAGAACACTGTTTTAGCTGTGTTCAACATTACAGATAACGAGACCCATGATCATGGTGTCAGGATCCTGAAAGATTTTGTTGTTCCGTCATAAGTACCACCCCAGACAAACCAATTCTTGTGTACCGGAGGAGATTGAGAGGTATATAGACAGGGCCTGGTCACACAACTAACTTCACTACTACAAAGAACGACTATTGCACAGCTGACAGAGGGTTCGGTTCCGGTGAACACCTGACTGTTTAGAAGCACAGAAGAGATAACGTATTTGAATGGGAGGACTTGCTCAACCGAAATTTCATTGACATGCTGGATTGGAAAGTTGGCTTGTACAATGTTCGAAAGTTTGCGGAGAAGTTCAAGGACTGCTTTTTTAATCGTTTTAAAGCACAAAATTAGCATCCGAGTTCAATCGGATTAGCGGGTATACCGTTCGCCAGTGTGACTCACTACAGAAAACCCTATTCCATGAAGTGTAAGAAAGCGTGATGAATGACTAAGACTGTGTGTCGAACTGACTTTGAAGCCAGAGATTCGGACGATGCAGCCGATCGATGAACGGAACGGGCTTGGACTGGTCTGGTGAGAAGAGTTCATCCAAGGCAACGGTGCTCTATTCAAAGGCCAGAGAAGAACTTCCCCTCAACAGGTCTGGTAGGTTGGTGCAACCGAGACCAGTTACTCCGGAGAGCGGCACCTTGTTGTTGAAGGGTACAGTGAAGCACAGCGAAGATCTTCGTAGCTATGGGAAATCGATATAACTGAGTCATTGCGCAACACACACAAACCCGGGTTTCTATTCTTGATTTGGAGGAAGTGGAACACCACAGTCTGAAGGCACAAGTCGGATAGCTAAAAGTGACTGTCATTGAATTGGCGAATTTGCCTCGGTCTAAGAGTGGGAGACCTTAATTTTCCTCATCCTATGATTCGACTTTTCATATTGCTGATAATTCGTAAGTAGTGCACTTTTCCGCAGTCCAAAGAGGCATTGTTAAAACGACCAAATAAGTGGGACACTGATCCGTTTGAGCAGCTGACCAGATTATTAGACGTTGATACAACAAAGAATCCGAGACTGGGCGTCATTGAGAGAAAACATTCGCGGCCAGCGTAACGAAGTGCAACGAGAAAGCTCACGAAAAATTCGAACCCAATATTAACTCACCTTGACACCCGTGGTTCAATATCAAACCGACAAACCACTCAAATAATCAAGCACTGAAAACGAATCCCCGACGCCTTCATACTAAACTATTCCGACCCGAACAAGACAGAACCATCAGTAGATCAAAATATATAATTGTATGTGCGAAGTATGTACATGCACCGTCAGTGCGGATGATTCTCCGTTCACTTCGCGGTAGCTGCCTCTCGCGATCAGACCAATTCACCACAACGTGCAATCGTCACTTGTTCCTTTGTTTTTCCCGATTTGGATCCGACGGCCTACGAGAAACAAAATGAATTAACTTAGACTACTTCAAACCAGGTTAAAATGTGAATAATTTCGAGTGGAACGAAATCGAGAAACAGCATTAATCACACATATGGAACGAGAGAGCGCGCAACTGCTCTTTACCCTATTTGATTATCATGAAGGCGCCATAGGTGAGGGAAACGCATACTAACAGACGTTCTTTGGGAGCCGGTAGATGGGAAACCTATTTTGCAATCGTGCAAGTGTGTCAACAATATGTTGGTGGGTAGATGAGAGATAAGAAACAGGTGTTATTGAAAGTGTGTTTATGGAATTACCAGTGAAACTCCTGGGGACATGTGAGTGGGTTGCATACAGTGCATGATAATCTCACCGAAACGAAAAAAACTAACCCACTAGGATGTCGAACTGGCTTTTAAGCCCAAGAACTCGTAGCCCGAAACTATAATACCCATCCGGTCTTAGATCTCCTGACGAATGAAAGGCAAGTTCAACCTATACTTCAACCGGCCGTTCCAAATAAGGCTACTGTGCGCCTTCCCATCTTCCCGCACAGCTGTCATCTTCAACTTGAAGGATGCAACAGTTCACTCTGGCAGGGCAAGCGACCACCACACAACTTGATGCGACCATAAAAAACCTGGGTACAACTGGTGTTAGGTTAGCGAGATTAAACGACGACCCAAGTTCAGTAAAACACCACCGCTCTTTTTCGGAAAAGTATTGATTATAAAAGACGCCTATATTTACAAAGAATTACTGACAGGCCAGCTTCTACCCCAAATGCGACTACGAATTAAGAAAAAGAAGCCAGTGTTCAACAAACCAGATATATTGACAAAATAGATATCTTAAGAGACCTCAGTTGAACCATTTGCCCATATGGAATTCAACTGCCTCCTTCACATGACTGGTTTCTGATGACCGCTCGGTTGTCCATTGTTCCCAACCGATACGTCTCTTTCCGACCCAATCACTCGAACAACCGAAATTGTTGTGAGTCATTAACGCCGAATACTGTCTTGAATACGTTGGCAAGGAAGTAAAGAATCTTGTTAAGATCATTATGTGAACGCGCTTCGCTCTGCATTGACATTTTCATTGCCTCGAATATAGGATGTCGTTCCTTAAATGCCAGTAAACGTACATCGATGCCCGTGGCTTGTAGTTAAAACTCACGCCTGTCGGATTGCGCGACGGACAACATACATAACGTGAAGTGTCATCATCCAGCCATTTCTCATCTACCTGAACGTTACCCCTACGTCTATGCTCCGCGTGTTCCTAAGAGCTCAGTCGCAGTATCCCAAAGTTCTGTGCACTTACTGGTTGGCTGTCGTCTTACATCGAGTATCGTCGCAACCTGTTTCAATATTCTTCCACCCTCGAATGCCAGGGGTCGTGGAATTAGTTTACAGGCTTCGCGCCACAGACAATGACAACCGTTCAGCCATAACACTCCTTCGTTGTGCCACCCGAAGGAAACAGGCACCCTGCAGTATTGCTAGTGTGCCAGATGGCGAGATGGCCCAAGTGGTTAGAGCGCGAATTTACTGACCGGAAGGTTCGTGGTTCGAATCCGACCTCCGTCACTCGACTTCCCCTGTCTAGGCTTGGGCAACCTGGCAGTATACTAGCCCTCGTGCTTCCTTCGGGTGGCATGGCAGCTAGGCACCGGAACGCTGAACGCTTTCTTTCTTTCTTTCTTTCTTAGGGTGCCAAAGCCCAAACAGAAGTCAAGATGCCGAGGTTGGGTTTGAACTACAGACATTCTGGTCAGTACTTTCGGGCGCTGGCCGCTGTACAACTAAATCGGGTGTTTCCGTATACTAGGCTGTTTGATAATGTCATGGACGCAAAACCAACCGACTAGATCTATGTTGCATTTGTCCATAGTTGAACCTGATAAGAAAGGCAAAACTGTTGTTTCTTCAGATACTGAAAGAACCAACAGCTGGAAGAGCATACCACAAACTGCGGACCACAGAATACCCGCAGCTCAAAAGTTCTGTTTCAACAAGGTGAAAGTGTACATTCATCGGAAACATTTTTAGACATGCCCATCAAATGATCACCTTAAACATTTGAGACAAAAGCAGAATACACCAAAGGATATTTGAAGTGAAACTGGTGCACCAATTCACTTATCAGAATGTACTATACACCAGCTGACCATGAAAGATGCATCCTTCTGGCAGCAAAGAAAAAGCACACATTCAGCTGACACTAAGAGAGATGACGCATCGAGTAAAGTCAATCGATTCTCGAAATGCGTCGTAGAATATGCGTCCTCTGTTGATGAGCTAATATGTTTAACGAAAACTAAACACATACCGCAGCCACCTACGTAAGACAGATTACTTATTCTGCACACGTCCAAGTGTGGCAGCCAGCTTGGTCGTACATGTGGGAGCATGTGTAGAGCTGCAAGGAAAATCCCGTTGACTTTTGCGTCAAAAATTAGAGCAAACAAATCGTCTTTTGTCAACTATTCGATCAGTCAGTGTTGGCAACTCCGACACCTTTCGGATACTCAGTCGTCAGTTAGGTTTGCTCTTTCGTTGGGTTAAGGATGCTGCCACCAGGCGGCTAAAGTCTGACCTGCATTCAGAGCCCACACCAGCGTTTCTCACACACAGATCTCACCGTTCACATCTTTTAGTACCTATGTGATCCTAAATTTCTCAAATCCAATCCGTTTCCTGTAGTAGTTCTCGGCACTGACATTCGGCATGCATTTTATTTCGTGCTGGCCATATCATAGCCATCACGATAAAAGATAGCTGAGCAGGATGTTGGGCGATTGAAAGTTCAGATGCCCTTGACGAAAGATTTCTTATTATTCGCACTCAAAATGTAGTTCAGTTTATAGCAGTAGTGATGAAGAACCCTAAAGGAAGTGTCGAAAAGGTGGTTGACATGTTCAGGTTGCTGAGGCAGAAGATGGGGTTGTGTTTAAAGTAACCTATCATGAGCCCTGGGATCAAAAGTCTGGCTCAGTAAGAAATGTAGAGATAAATGGATTTATCCTGGAACCCCATTCGTAGCATTAATGTCAAGATTCCAACCCACGAAACAGTTAAGTGATCCCGTCAACTTTGTTATGGGTGGTGAACTAACTGCCACGCGCAGGAAGTGGAGCAAAGATGCCTGACTCCTGAAACTTCTGTGCGCAACAGATGTGTTTGGAGCCGCATCGGATCTTGAGCAGTGGTGCACCTCCAGCCAGGTGTCACGGTCGACTGTCCTAACCCCCCAAAAGAAGACAGTACCGCTGCATCCACAAATACTAAGATGCCGATGGCCTAGATGGAAAATTTTGATACTCCCACACTCCCATCTTAGTGGACAGTGTGACATTTGAACCAGTCCCGTAATAAGTTGTTTCGAGTATGAGAGCCGGTCACACTTTGTCTGGCTGCTCCCCTTAGGTATTCGAGAACCTTGATTAACGACGTTTGAGCCAGCGAAGTCCACCAGTTTATTACAGCACTCAAGCCCATCGGACTGGCGGTATTTGACCGGCTTGAGTAAGCGGAACGCAACTAGCGTCCACATTGAAGTTGTTCACGATGTGAACATAGCAAAGAAATGACCATTGTTCGGAATAGTTGCATGACGCTAGCCTTAAGTCCTCAGTGGATGATGTGTTCGCTGATTTTGCCAATGCTGAGCCAACTTGATATTTACTGTCCCACAAAACATGACACGAATCTTATGGGTATTACAAGTCAAAAGTAACACAAAAAACATAGTTCAGTCAAAAATTTAGATGAACAGTACATTCTTTTCAAGTGATCATTGATCACACGCGTGGGGTGCATTGAAACATGTGCGAAACCGATCGGAAAATCTACTTACCTCAATCTTTTTCACCACATTCAGCCCTTCAGTGACACGGCCAAACACAACATGTTTTCCATCGAGCCTATGAAACGAAACATTGAACATCCAATGAATGGAGCAACGATATCCGAAAGAGTTCTACGTCACTTTCTTACCCGGTCATTTGGTTAACTCGTTAAGTTTATGCACAACGACCGATCAAGCTGCTGTCACAGTAAACCAATTGGAACACGGATTATTGTAAACCTCTGGTGATGAATAAACGTCTAATGATGGATTGGCGTGCACATCCAGACACAATAAGTGGAAAAGTAATGAGATAGAGGCAATAAAGTTTCGTCTCAACGTGAACGGAACATGGAATAACTTAAACGATAACACCTTGTGCTGCCAAGCCCTGAAAATAATTTTAATTATTGAAGTAGGCTAGGTTTCTGAAAACTCCACTCACATCCCATTTGGCTAATTCAGGGCACTATTGACCTATTTAGAATATCGGGGTGCCCAACCGGGAACAGAATTCCGCAAAATCACTTTAGAATGGCTACTAGAAAATGTGAGTAGTATAGTTGCGCTGATTAATCAGTCGGTTTCCACGGCTTTTTTCCGCGAAAGTACGCAGTCCCTATTGAGTCAAATTTCGCGAAATCTTGGAGTCGAAAACTGACCACACAACAGAACAACCAAACTTCATAGTAAATCGTGTCAAGATTTCTATCGAGACAAGTTAGAATTTTAGTCGAGCTATCCGAACCATGTCGGCGCAACAATGTCATATCACAAAAAGGTGTGAACCACGGGGCTCCAAAAATATCCCTGCACTATTTTATCGACAGAATAAGTCCTCGTAATAGAACAGTCGACCACACCAACAATGCTATCGTTTTTATTTTTCTAAGACTGGCCCGTGTAAACGGTCCGCATCATTTGAGGACAACAAAAATGGACAATCACCAACTCGTACCCTAAAAAACCGCAGATAAAGCTATGGTAGCGAATTTCCGGAATATGCCTACCTTCCGTATAAGATAATGCATTCTACACTAGAAACCTTATGACTTGGTGGGCCCATATGACTCATGAGATCCCAAATCTCATCGTAAGCACAATCCGCACTCGCAAATAAGCAACACATGGGAAACGACGGGGATGCGCAGCCTTATATGAGAGGCAACAATTATCTTTGAACTATTCTACCCAGTGTTTTAACAGCCGCTTAACTATCCAAACATCGGGTCGATTGGACGGATACGTCACGTGTGGGCGACGAAACAAGGAGGGCATGCCTGGATCAGTCAGTGTCAACCAATCAGAACCAGGTGTTTAAACCTCGATGCTTCTTGCCAGCTCACGAGGATACTAGTACAATCTTGCGGAGCATTCCGAATTCGGTTGTGATGATTTTCTCTTGTCTCCATAGGGGCTGTATCAAACTACTGTGCCTTTCGCTATACCACAGTGGACGGAACAGGAAGCCAAAGACTGGTGTTGCAACACCATCCGAGGCACACATCATCAGAGCATCATTCGCAGACTACTTCGCCGGTTTCTCAAACACCAAGGCTAGGCGGCCATCTTTCGTAGCAATTGAATGACATATGTGGAACGATATATTTGTAGTCTCAGAGCTTCAAACGGTTTTTCGTACCACAGTAAGCATCCCATTTTTACAAAAGCTCTATATACTTCTTTCAAAGAAACAGCCACTTCGTCCTTCGTCTGTAAGTTGGAAGGATGGATCTGCCAAACTAATTAAAGTCTCCTACGTTTCCACAATGACCATAACTATATCCAGTATGCATAGCATTCTTTAGAAGGCTGATAAACTACATCCATTCCCATTTTGGGGCAGGCAAATGTGATTAAAAACTGAATTCACGGTTCCGGAGAACAAAAGAAAACAGGTGACAAAAAAATCGAGAGATTACCAATCGCATTTGCTTGTGCATATGAAGAACTGCGATCCGTTCGTGTTCGGTCCAGAGTTGGCCATTGAAAGGGTACCTGAATGGAAAATTGAGACAGGGATGAATGGATGTTTGTTTCAACGAGCAAAGCATAAAAGCCACGCTAAGGGGAAAAAATACACCAAAAACTGAAGTGAAGAAGAATGGATAAATTTTCGGAAAACGACCTCCAACGAGGTGCGGTTGTTTGTAGACTAGTGATGGTGCAAAAGCAACATCAGATGGTCCGTCTGATAGTAAGTAAGATAGCTAGAATTGATTGAACGACAGATTCCAAATGCTACTGGAACCAAGCGGATAACTGTGACCGTCATCACCACTGGCATTAGCATAGGCGTGTAAGAGTGAGAATAAACATGCTCTGCAACCAAAAAAGCTTGGGGATGTACAGAAGGCAGATGCTCAAACAGGCGCCACAAACAATCGAGGCACCTAAACCTCGGACGACCAGGAAGACAAGTACGTAGATCGGTTGGTCGCCACTTTTTCCAGAGTATCCACTCTAGCACAGAGAAGATTGTGGGCAGAATCCTGGGTTACATTCCGATACATTCTTCACTGCCTTTTGCAAGGTCAGGTTTCACATATCTTGGTGGACGACAGTGGCCAGTAGCGTCACGGGTACAAGCCAAGACTGTTTTCTATATCGAACAGAACAAACACCAGGATGAGATACTTCGGCCATAATTTCAAAATGTGGTAAATCCGAGATAGAAGGCATACACATTAGACGTTCAGATTCACACTAGCAGCCGCTGAATCATGCGACAGAATTAGATGCACTGCTGAGGCTGTGGTGCGTTTCGCGAGAGACAGCTTACATTCCCGAGTAGCCAAATATAACACGCAATTGCAACAGTCATCTACACTATGATCACCAGCTGTGCACCGTGCATATGTTGTAGAGTAACTGTAGTTGCCAGATCTTTGCTCCGCAATGATCTGAGAAAACAGGGGTCGAAGGCCACGCACCTGAGGTAGTAGCTGATATAATTGACTCGTAAATCAAGGAGTGACAGCGGACTTCTCTCTCTGGAGATATCTACTGAGGAAGGTATGCACTGAAAGCAACAGCGTGGATGCGTGCGCGCCACTGGGTCATTTCCGTCTAATGCGTCCCGTCTGTTGTTACTCATCCAGGGAGACGAGAATGATTAACGCAGCCGAGTTCGCTGGTAATATCTTTCATATTTCATTGTCAAGTCATCGCCTAAACTCGCCTGGCTCGTCTCCACTCTCCGCGTAGTTGTGCAGAAATTGGTACTCCGAGAATATCGGTGGACTGACATCCAAGCGCGTGATCAGCTCATCCAGCCAAGGGTTTGCTACTTCTTCCGAAAACCATTGGATTTACTTCAACATGACTGATCCAAAACCCCTCCCCGAACATAATGAGCGTTTATTGAAGTCTTCAGTTCGCAGCTGCCGGATTTCCGAACCAGCTAACGACACAGAGTGCACCACTTCACTGTAAATGGATAACCTGTCTAGTCTTTGGCAGCCTGGCAGTATCCAAGCCCTCGTGCGCGACACGGCATGGTATAGCAATTGGGCACCGAAGGGATGCTACAACTGAGCGCTTTTTTTAAAGCTGGTATCACGTCTGTGTCACATAGGACGCTTTGGCCTTCCCGATCCGGACGGCAGCATTGTCTTTTGTGAAAACACCAAGAGTGACAAGGTCAACTAGGTAGAAAAATTTGTCTTCTACCTCAATCGATTCGTCCGCAAGCATGAGGTGCGGGGTTTGACTCCACCAGTCTTGCAGTGACAATTTATACTTTGCAAATGTGAATCGCACACCAAACTTTGAGACAGTGTTGTTTAGACTACTTAATAGTGGTTACACTATGGTAGAGCCATGTGCCATCTGCGTACTCACTATCTATTAGCGAGCGTCCTGGAAGCACTTAATCCTACAGTCATTAGAGAGGGTAGAGAGTTTTCCAAAATCATCTGAGGCTACTGGACATGCTGAACCCACACGACAGGTTGTCGTAGACAATGTTTCTTCTTAGCCTACAGTGCTTTCAGGAGGGCTAAGGGTCTATGGAGGACATCTTTGCTACACAAATACCGCCACACTACCCGACGACCAACAAAGTCAAACGCAGCTTTCGTGTCTAAAAGGACGCTTGCTGTTGGTTGCTACAAAGTGTCGCTGTTCGAAAATCTGTCAGGGATGAGGGATAAATATATGTCGCAACTAATTGCTGTCCCGATTCCAATGTCTCAGTGTCAGAAAAAGACTCGTCAACGAGGAACACAACAGCTTTATTGCGAACAAACGAGTGTGTACAATAAAAGGGGAATGGCGGCATTTAAAGCGCACTTTTGATCTTGAGTCCAGACTGTTCGATCGGCGTTGGATGAACACTCATCATCGTCGGTCATGCTTCTATGGCATGCCTCAACACTCATCACTGTCGGCCGGGGCTGAACTGACTGAGTGCTTGAACGTCCAGTTGGCAGCTGGCTTTTCTTGTCCACATGCTTGACGGCCTCCCTACTGCGATTTTGGTGGAGTACAAGGACATTAGTGGGTTTCGGGCTCTCTGGGATCATTCTCAGGAATCTGACCTTCCTAAGAATGTGTCACCGATACATCTTGTTTCAGAATGGAACCTAGCCTGGTTTTCATGCAAGTTTTCTGCTCTCTGTTCGATTAACCTTCGAAGGACAAAACCAAATGGCAACTTCGTCACTACCGACCTAAAGCTGCCATCTTGACTTCGTGGCCGAGCTTCAGTGCTGCAACGATTCTTCGGGATACACTCGCTAGAACTTGGCTTCACAGGGCAAAACCATGCCTGGAAGACATATGGGTGCCATCGAAACAGGAAAAGCGAGCCCGCGCACTACGAGTAATCGAATCACGAAGCGGTCAGGAGACCAAACAGTACTATCCTCTGTGATAGAATTGTGAAGGAAGTGAGGTGTTTCCCCCAGACAACCAACAAGCGCACATTTATTGAGGTAATGATGTTGTTTTTCTCCGAAGAACGGATTAGAAGTCAGCCCCAGAGGCCCCACATTCCAGTCGCCCAACATTCGACCATGACCACTGGCGTATTATCCAAAGCAGTCGAAATACGATAAAAACTACACAAGTGCCCTAGGCTACACCTCTTTTCAGAGTATGGGCAATCGAGATTCATTTGTCCTCACAGCTCTTTGCCGATGCCCCTTCCAATCCCCCCTCTGAAAAAGTGAGTTCAAAACATCTGTTTCAATACGATACCTTGTAGATGAGTCTATAGTGTGACTGTACACGCATCTTTTGTCAAACTCTGAATAGACCAAATCACCATACAACTGCGGTCTATGTCTGCTCAGTTAGTAAAGCGGATGAATGCAGTCTGGAAAATATTAATCCATTGTACCAACACTTGTGCAGGGTTGTTGGTCCTTTATCCAAAAAACTACCAGTCTAAGACAAAACTGAATGTCCATTTTGTATTAGGTGTTCTGGCGAATCAGTTCTTTTCGTATACGCTAATCTGGTGTGTACCGACAAATGCCCAAAAAGGGAACCATCATGTTCAACTCTTCAGTCGTTTCGGCCCGGGTATGAGAATTGTCATTCTTACCGTCTGGCTCTCAGTGCAATGAGACTGAAATAGTGATTACCACCTGAAGCCAGACTCATTTCAGACAACCCCACCGTAGTGCACATCAGATGCATGCGCTCATAGAAAACTAGCAAAATGAGGTGAGTTCCAACCACACACCCTCTGGCCAAGGTATTCTGCTCTAACCCTAAATTTATTTAGACCAGTATGGCAACGATGTCAAAGAATTGTAAGGTCGTTCTGAGTGTGACGAACTATTCAGACTTCAATGTTCGGGACCGAAAGATTACTGGAAAATATGCGTGTCTTAATATTGCCCTATCAACTGAGACTGTAGCATCTTTCGAGTACCTAGATGCCATGCCATCCGAAGGAGGCACGAGGGCTGGGATACGGCCTGGATACCCGAACCTAGATAAAGGAAATCGAGAGACAGAAATCGGATTCGAACCACGGACATCCCGGTCAGTAAAGTCACGCTCTAACCACTGAGCCATCTTGCCGTTGTGTTTAACTGAAGCAGTTCCTTCTAAACAGCCAGTTGCAGTCATCTGACAAAAAGAAGGAATCTACCAATTGGCGTTTAGGTTCCCGTAAGAGGGAGAAGGAGCATTCCGTGTCTTTTGAGCACATTACATCTTAAACTACTGACAACTTCTAACAGGATGAATGCCCATCTGTACCGTCGCGCTCATCAATCGAAGCTGAATTAATTTCCCAAAAATGCACATACCATCACATGTATTTAAGGCGGAAGTTAGTGTCGGAGGGACCACACAGAAAGTACGCCACAATCGCTTATCGACGTCGTATGTAATTTCAACACATCAATGTGTCCTTGTTTGCTCAGAGACAGTGTCACTAAGCAGCGTGGCTTCGTGTTTGCATCTTTCCATCTGGCTCCAGCAGGCAGCTTTGAAATATCCGTGATTACGATATCGGGGTGTTTTATTTGATTCGGTACTAACTGAAACGCTGACAAAAGTGTTTGAAAGTCTACGACCGATTTTGAAGCCTGAAACTCCTATCAATCATAATTCTTACCCGAGCATCGAACTGAATGGTTCTATGTGGATATTTAAGTGAATTCGTCGCTGGAGAATACTATAAGCCTCCCGTTATCACCATACTGATTTCAGGTCCCAGCGTCCTCGAGCAAGCTTTCTTATATTAAATGATTATTCTCTCGTAGTTCTTCATGCGGTTATGTGCATCCGTCATCGTCAATCTGACCATCTGTCTGTCGTTTTTTCTTGCTAGTGTCCAGGCTTGCATGTTATTCAGCGGTCTTCGGTGGGCTACGCCATTGGGAGGGATTTACGCATGTATTCGTGGTAGACGTGTAGCTGTTGTCGTGTGGAGGCTTGTGGCTCACACCGGTTTGCAGATTGGTAGTTAGGATCAGCTCTCGTACGACGGTTTGTAGCGAACGCGATCAATAAATGCGGTTGACTTTCACTGTTGTTCCCGTCGAAGTTTTCGCCACATGCACTGTTAGATCGTGGCGACCATTCGTTAACGCGGTCCTATAACAACTAGCCGGCGTAAATGTCCCTGAGAACGATCGAGTTCTACGAAAGACGAGAGACGGACAGACAGAACATTTCCACAGGCCAGCAGAGAAAAATAGGACTTACCCAATCCTTCATGACGTAGCTGAAAGTTCTCATCGTCAAACTTCCGACCGTAGATCGATTTGCCACCGGTTCCGTCACCTTTGGTAAAATCGCCTCCTTGGCACATCTAGACAAGCGATTTCTAGGTCAAAGGAAATGCGTCACTACAAACCGAATGCATTTCACTTAACTAGAGAAACATCTGAACTACGGTGAGACTACTCTAGACCCCTGAAGGGCATAACTGTATGTGTTAGGCTGCGGGTAACCTCCACCCTCAACTAATCCCCAAATGATGTTAGATTATTCACATTGCCTTCTATTAATTGTTATATTCGGAGATGACCATCGCATTCGGTCGGGTGTATACCAACCTAACTCAAACATTGGGAAATCGTCGTCACCAATGTTATCACGGACAGTGTGCTGGTAAGCGTTGATTGTGTTGTCGGTCCCCCTGCTCATGCCTTCATCATGATTATTGGTCGATTCCGGAATTTTACCGAAAATAGGACATACGGAGTCGAAAAACCGGGATATGAATATGAATCGAAGACTGTCTATAAGTGGAGCGCGAGTTCAGTGACCGAGGGAGGCTGTAGCGACCCGGTCACCCACATACTTGACTGTTCAACTCACAGTCGCTCACTGGATCGCGAGGCTTGTCTTTTTTCTCATACGCACAAACACGTCGCATTAAGCTGACTCATCGGACATCGATTGTCTGCACCGCCTAGTCAGCGTAGCAACCACTCATGTGCCGACGCGCCCACCTATACGCACTGGGACCTACATAAAGAGAAACCGAACCCAGTCAGAACACAGACTCGCGCGCGCGCAGGGAGCAAGGAGTTAGCCAAACACTCCAAGTCCACGGACAATCATGGAACACGTGTAGCAGCCATACTGCGAAGAAAACAGGTTACCGCCGTCTGGACTTTCACCAAGGAACTCTCACATACGATAAGTTCCTTTTTGACTTGCTCCCATTTCGCATTGTATTCATTTTTATACGTGTCGCAACCATTTTAAAAAATCTTATTAGTGCACATTCACCTTCTGATTTGTATTGTGGCTATCACCACCTGTGCACTAACAAGGCCACAAACTGAATCGAAATATCCAGGTTTGGAATCAAAGAGGACAGATCGCTTCAGCCAGAGGCCAACATCTTTGACAGCGTTCCCTCTAGAACCGCGGTTTTTCCGCTTGTTTTCTTACTCGAATCCTTGTGTTGCCCACATCACTTTCAGAACTTCGGCAATCCAAGCTGTCAAACTTTTAGCTCTATATGTTTTGGGGTATACCACGGGAAAATAGTTTTTTTCTCTACAGAGCACTGCCCCTTGCTGTTCCGCGCAGAAAGATTGTGCCGCATTCCAACGAACAGCCGAAAGCAAAGTGAGCGGCGTTGTGCAAAATGAAGCTCAACTAAACGGTGTGCTCTAATCATTCATCACTAAAGACGGAATACAGGTGACCTTACAATCAATACCTTCGGTCAAAAAGGTGAATATTGTTTGGGATACAAGTTGGGTGAATTAGGACCTGTTGGTATAACTGGGACCACTTTGTTAAGCGATTTCAGTCAATGTTGATGCCATATTTTGGAATTCACACCTCCAGTGCTTCTCCTTCTCCTCTCGTCCCGGGTCGTCAGTGGAAATCGCGTTTACGTTTTTCTACATGTGAGCATGGAAGTATTCGTCCGGCCTTAGTCCGGTAGTTTAAAGTCAAATAAATAAGTTACTGCCAAACTATCCGTGTACGTTTGACGTATCTGAATTACTCCGTACACTGGCGAAAAATATCTCTCATGGGGTCCTACGGCGGAAGGATTCTCGAGCGATTCAAAGTGTGAATGAGATAAAGGGCTACCCGAATGCAGACGATCTTATTCAGATAGTCGATTTCAGATGATCCATTTTCTTCCAGTGGCCGAATTGGCCACAGAAGAAAACTCACTCGCATCGAAAAAGCAAACCATTTCGTTTAGCTGATAAGTGTTTCTCGTGCATAACTTCCGAAAAAGTGAGAACACCGAGACGCATCGTATTGTCTAACGATTGAGAAAATAAAAAAGAAATGGGTGAAATTCAAAGCAACAATGTTTCGCGTCTGAAAACAAGTAACCGATAGCCCTATACGACACTAGGAAGGTAGACAGTGAAGCCTCGTCAGTGGTAAAGGCCCACAACTTGATTAAGAGATACGGTTGTTCCAATCCGACTTATTTATTAGGTTGACTTGGAACAGAGCTACTTGTATTCTACATTCAAATACTGGAATAGCCATATGAAAAGGATACAAATCCTGGAATGACCCGATGAAACGAAGAATTATGATAGCCGAAACCACGTTCGCCTGTACACAGTGCTCGGAAATTCTCCGCCGTACGGGGAACAATGTCAGCGCGTAATTCGATTACTATTCGGCCCGAGTCTACGCCACCAATACGCATATCCATAAACACTTTGGGTAAATTGCGTTTGCCACGCTTGACTGCTGGCTCGCTCTCTTCTTGCTACAAAAAAAAGATAGAACAGAGTGAAAATCATTATTCACAACTATGATGCGGTATTCGACATGATAACAAATTGTGATAACTTTAACAGTGCGTGCTTTTCTCATCACTGCAGACCCTTAACGACTAGTGCTACCAATTGTGATAACTTTATGCGTGATTTTCTCATCACTGCAGACCCTTTACAACTAGTGTTGATGCTTTCTATGAAGAATTAGAATGTGTGGTACGCATTTATCATGAAGAGACTATTGGAGCTCATCCTAGTCTCTGCATTCCGCTTCTGCGTTGCACATCGATCCCACCATTGTATCATGCGGCTTAGAAGCGAAAATATCCAATCATTCCGGATTCATGAATTTTCTGCTGATATGTTCACATTCCCTTCACTCGGTCACAATACTGTTAGGCCGAACCGATTCCGTTTTCAGTTCACTGTATCAGCTATAAAACAACGGTAGGTTGGCTCCAGTTACTACGTTTCCGGTTCCATTGGAGGCAAAAGCATAATCAGTCGATTCGGGAAACGAGGCAGCTACGCACTGGAGGCGGCTGGTTTGATGCGCAAGCGCCACTGACTGCACAATTGAGCTATATCTACCATATCATTAGCAACCAGTGAGTTGAGACCTGGAGTTTCCATTCAGAGATGTGACAGCTGTCGAACCGACTGAGTTTACTGGTTAGTGTTTTCATAGTTCTTTGCCAGATCTTGGACACTGCACCTCTCAGTTGTTTCCAATAAGCACGGCTAGGCGAAAAGAGCTATGAGGCAGACGTTCCTCTGGCATGCGGGGTACCTGTTCTAACCAGCATAATCTATGAGGCTTGAATAACTCATCCGTCGGGAAAATCTGGTTCCACTCACCATTTTTAAACCAAACTCCTTGACTAATTACTACATAGATAGATAGAAAAACATCATCAGAATTGACAGCAATACATAAGTAGTACATATAGGCACCCAAATGACATGCAACTGCAACAAGCACTGAACATAAAAGGGGAGGAAGTGTCGTAAGAAATACCCCTAGGAAAATGGTCAACTAAGCAGATTGCCTACAGCATCCAGCAAGTTTGGGATAACCACGACCATATGTTGTTGTGTTGGAGTAGAACAGCATTGACCGGACAAAGCAATAGCACCCTTAAAAACCTTACCCTGACAAACCTCACGTGAGGCATTCCAATTGAGGAGTGACAAAATGCTCTACAAAGGGGAAGGATTATTATGGGGCCCGCTGCGGTTTCCAGTCAAGCACAAAGAGAAGTACGTGGGCCCCAATCAAGAACGCGTGAAACTTTGAAAGCGTGCACTCTGAAAGTACCGACTTCGTTCCGTGGTACCGTGTCATCACCTGCTCAAGGCCAATCTATTTCCAACTAAGTTCGAGGCGGAGAACAGCGGATGTGCTTTATAGAGCACACCTGATAGAAAAAGCGAAGTGGTCCGCTAGACCGACGATAGACCCTCGACGGTTTCTCACATAGGCAAACAGCCCACATGAAATTCTGGGTCTTTGACGTCAACTCCTAATTTATACCCAATAGCAACGCGTGAAATCTCAGTGATGCATTGTGAGATAACCTTCAGACAAATGGTCACTGATGAGCGTTTGCTGAAGCTCATGCCCATTATTTCGTTCTTTATCACAACGAAATGACACTACCATGCATTATATACACCGAATAGCTAACACAACACAAATAAGGATAAGGATAATTCCTAGTTGACTAGGGTCGCTTACTGCCATTTCATCAGCCGCAACTGTTCCTGCAGGGTGTACGACTTCGGGTTCCTCTACTGGCTTCAGTTCAAGCGTGGCACTACCGTATTTCTTAAGCCAGTTTTCATCCGACCATACTGAAGCGGAAAACAATAAAAATACGATAAAAGTTGTGACAAGTAAAAACAGAGACATTCTCTTCCACAAAGCATCACGAGTGCAACTTACCTGGCCTGCTCCAACCTTCGCGGATCCGTACCGGTCTCGCAACGTTTACTCGGATGGTCCGCCCGAAAATCTCGCTTTCATTCTGTAGATGGGTTAGAAAAGCAGACAAAAAGGGCCAAACAGACAGTCATCGGAGACTTTCCGCACGCCACAGCTACGTATGTGATATGCTACTGGCCAACATGAATTCAAAGGACTCCAGGGACTCTGCAGACGATTATGTACAACAGACAGGTGAAATAAACATTCAAGTGTGGCTGCATGATACTTAATCCAAACTAATTTCTCATTCAAAGTAAGCAAGAAAGGCAACACAGAACTGACACAGCAAAATGCTACGCTATGTTCATTGGATCTGCAATCCACTGATTGGAGTGCTCTTCATCCATTTGCATGTGAGTGTACTAGCGGCGCTTATCCGCATTCTCTATTCTCAAATTAGCGGAAGGCCTGCAGTCGGAGACCAAGTTACGCGTAGGTCAAGTGACATCATTTCGTAACATATTGCAGACCAACTGAAAAAGACTCTGTACAATAATGGATTCACACCATTATCAGTCAGATGAAACTGAAGATAAACGAGTCTCAAATGCATGTCTGAGACAGGTCACCTGATTGGCTCTGTTGAAGCATTCACACGTCACTGATACGCAAGGGAAAGCCAGAACTGCTAGCTTTCTGTAAACCAGATTGTGTGTACAAAAACTATTGATTCAAGCTCTCCGGCTACTCTGGAACTCAACCCAACCCAGTTCCGTCTGATGAAGGCAATGTGAAATGTCAACACCACCAAAACTGGGTTTTCAGACTGTTCCGATGAAAGTTTAGAACAATGTTGTTGACAAATCGTTTCATTCTCGTTGAGAAGGATTTCGGGCAACATTCACTGACTCTCAGTGGCAAACGCCGGTGTACGATAGATTTGGTGGATAGGGTAGTCCTCATACCGTTTCAAGATTCCTTCGAAACCGGAGTTTCGCTCTGAGTATTGAACATGTGTTTTGCGATGAGGGAACTCCGATCCCGTTACGCAAACGTGCTCATAACCGATAATCAGTTGAAGTACACTGGACGGAGATACACACCAATGACAAACTGTAACAACACCAAAGCTGTTGGCTTGGTAGGGAAGCACTGGCGCTGAACATTGAGGTTGTGCTGTCGATGATGACGGGCTAAGCCTCAAAAACATCCAGGGCCGGTACATTAACTCTGAACACTTGACTAGTTAAAGATACTGGACCCACCTCATCACTATCGGGTCTACTTGGAGATAGCTTTTGAACAGCTTTTCAGTTACAGAAAGGCGACTAAACATTCCTAGCCGATGTACAACCAGAGTCAGTTGTATGTAACCAGTGCGAATGACGAAAGGTAGAGCAAAGTGGAGGGGGTAAGAGAAGGCTCAAACCCATCGGCAAACCTATTCAGCGGATGGAACAAGGATCAATGGTTATCGGTTGCAGAAACAGCTTACCATGTTGTCAATAGCACTCATAGCATCCTCCATCTCCTCAAACTCAATAAAAGCGAACCCGCGATGTTTTTCTAGTGATCCAGTGAGCGCGTGCGCCATGCAAAATTTGACACTTACCGGTCTGGTAATCCATTGGCATGTTGATACTGACAATGTCCCCAAATGGGATAAACGCTGCCCGCAGCAGCGGTAAATCAACCTGGTCTGCAAGTCCACCTGGGAATCAAGGAAGCGAAATGAGAAAATCATCGCACAACATACCGACATATACGACCCGTTTGTTGACCGGGTTGTACGAACCTGGAGCTAACTGAACAGTCGGTAACTCTTCCTAAAAGTAAGAGTTGATCAAGTGACACGGATTTGAGCAGGTTATGAGAAAAATTCAAGCACAGCAACCAATAGACAGACAAAGAACGGGAAAAATAAGAGGTAAATTTTATTTAAGGACATATCGCGAACAAGTTACATCACCAAGGTAACGGCATTGGTTGTGGGTTGTGCATATAGCATATCATCAGCGCGCTTATGGATAACCTATTGGGTGATCAGATCGGATCAAAGAAGAGGACGAGGCTTACATAAAACCACTGATCAGTTGTTTTTTGTCCTCACCAGCACGGGAATTAGCATAGGTCACGAACGCACATATGACAGCGGTCCAAGCAGCCAGTTTCACCTATGTTGGAGACCATATGTCCTCTATATGGGAGAACCAACCTCAAACAGAAGTCCACACATGCTCAAAATCATACCGAAAAAATTCAGATAATCAATTGTTTGATCCAGTGGGGTTGCGTCGGAGGATAATGGAACAAACCTAGATTCGTGTATTGTCATGATCAGCTTACAGGAGCTCACCTCTTAAGTTTTTTCGGTCTTCGCGGATCGGTATTGACCACGCTAGACATTATTTCCGATAGAATTGAGCTGGAAGAAAGGCTACGTTTATAAGGCGTCACCAGACAGAAAAATGGGACTTTGATCTGAATAAGAGACAGGAAATAACAGAACTTCTACCAAAGAAATAGCAAGACCTATCCTCATTTCTGCAAGGTGAAAGCCAGAAAGCGATGGATTCATTGCTGACGAGTGATGGAGGCATGGTCAGGTGTGGTGCATTGCAAGCTTCACAGGTGATTATGAGCAACGCTCCACAAGACAGCCGGTGACTCAGCAAACTTAGTCCGCGTACAAACTGGTGTAAGGGTACTGAGCCGGAAACAAACTATGACGGTCGGAAAGTTCACCGCTTTCAAAAACTCCGTGGCGACTTAATCCCGACCTAAGGCTGTCATATTGTCGTGGTCGTCGGGCTTCTGTGATGCAATGATCCTGCGGGTTATACTGGCTGGAACTCAGTTCCTGAAGATTCAGCATATCAGGAAGGCCAAAGGGAAGCAGTCAGACTAGGAGCAGCGAGTACCCGTGCTGCGAGTAATCGGATTTCGTATTTCACACTCCTCTGCGATAGGACTGTGAAGGCAGTAAGGCGTCCTCCCCAGGCGACCAGCACGTCCATATTTATGGAAGCAGCAATGCTGCGTTCCGCCGAATAAGGACGGGTTAGAAAAGATCGACCACAGAAAACCCACCCTCCGAACGCCGAGTGGTTAACCGTGACCACCAGTGCGTTATTCAATACGGTCGCAATTCTTTTAAAACCAGAGTCCGGTGCTGCGCAGCCGCACCGGAATGAGACAGTAATGCCTTATTCGCTGCACCCTCGGGTCAGGTAAACCCTCTGCAGTCGAGAGCTTTGGTTGAGGACCCTAACCATCCTCCGGTCTAGGTGTGGGCGCCCTGGCAGTATCTCGGCCCTCGTATAAGCATGACATTCACAACTGACACAAACGATCACATTCAGTTATTTGGAGGCCAGCGACCACAAGAAAATTGTGAACTCAATTCGACTGTGTGGGCGAGATGGCCCAAGTGGTTAGAGTGCGAATTTGCTGACCGGAACGGCTGTGGTTCGAACCCGACCCCTGCCTCTCGACTTCCCCTGTCTAGGCTTGGGCAACCTGGCAGTATGTTGCAGTAGCCCAGCCCTCGTGCCTCCTTCAGCTAGCATAGCAGCTAGGCAGCGGAAGGGCGTTACAGCTGAGAGGTTTACCAGTTACCGATGGAGAGCCTCAGTTGAGGACTGTCGCTCCCTCTGGAGTATGCAACTTGACTGATCACACTATCGTGGGGTCCCAGTTAGCACTTCGCTTTCCGCCAGTATTACGCTTGCCATAGGAGAGCAGCTTCTCTAATCAACTTCGACAAGTTTCAGTAGCTGATCTGGCCAAAAAGCTACTGAAAATGCACTCATGTGGATGACGAAGACTGCTTGAAGAGTGAACGGAGGCGAGTTAGAAAGCAATACTCTCGGCTTTCAGAACTGTTTGTCCAGGCCATCTGACTCGACTGAATGAACACTGTATATTGTCGAGACCAACAAATCTTATTGCCGCCCAAAAGGTCATATCAGCAACTAGCGACTATGATGGCGCACGCACATCTCTCAACACCAAATACCCAGAGCTTGAAGAATGACAGAGAACACTGGTAGATTTCGAGGGCTCAGGAGATGGAGAAGGCTTTCGCCGCAGCCAACAGCCGCGCCCTGCTTAAACTGACCCGATCAACCGATCCGAAGGAAGCAGGTGTCAGTGAAACAATATGCGAAAAAGACGGAACAGAAATTCACTCCCTCAAACGTCGTCATGTGCAATGGGCTGATCACTTCGAAGAACAGTTCAGCTGGTCTCCAACATGAACGCTGAACGAACCAAGCGGGCCCGAATGGAACATCAACATCAACCCATCAGTAACCGAAATCCAGCATGTGATATCGATCCTGAAGCACGATAAGGCACCTGACCCGGATGGTCTGCATCCCGCACTCTTCAAAGGTGGTGAAGTCCTAGTGAGCAGTTTAACAACCACACCGCAGAAGATTTGGAACAAAAGCAGAATACCATCCTCGACCGTCATCCCGGTTTTCAAAAAAGGCACAAGAACGTCATGTGAAGACCATTACGATATAAGCCTAACATCATCTGCATCTAAAGTTGATCATTATCGGGAGTTGATGCATTATCGGCAGAGACAGATTCGTGAGAACCAGAAGGATATCGCCCTGGCCGAGGATGTATCGACCATATATTTACCTTGAGACGAATCCCTGAACAAAGCCACTCCTTCAAACATCCCACATTGGTAGCTTTTCTTGACCCGAGAGCTGCTTTTGACTCTGTCGATCGTGAGAAACTTTGGCAATATTTTGAGATCAAGGGGATCCTTCCCAAATTTCTATCATCTATGAGGGAACTGTATGCAAACTGCTGTGGGTGCGAACGAGTATACGGCAGACTTTCACCTGAGTTCACCAGGTCCAGTGGTCCAATACAAGGCTGCCCTCTCTCACCTTTCCTCTTCCAGACATTGAGTATGCGGACGATATTGTTCTCCCTGGGTCAGACCCTCCAAAAATGCAAACTTAAATAACTCTGCCGTACGGTTTGGCATGCGCAGCATACCTCCTGTAAGGTGTCCGTCAGGTATGCCCAATCTCTCCATTCCTTTTTAACTTCGTGATCAATGAAATAATGAGACGAACGCTGGAGGGTCTCCAAAACCCCGGTGTCCAAACAGCCTGTGAAGAAAACCTTGTCGATCTGGAATATGCAGATGACATCGTTCTCATCTTCGAAGAGGAGGAGAAGGCGCAGGTGTTTTTGGATGAACTAACCAAAGTCATCCTGTCTTTTGGTATGCATTTTGCACCCGCAGTGTAAGGTCATGCTCCTGGATATGCAGTCACTGAACACGTCACTTACAATCCAGGGAGAGATACTGGAAGTTGTGGGGCGTTTTACATATCTTGGAAGTTGTATTAGTTCTGATTGTAGTGTAACACATGAAGTGAATGCACAAATCTGCAAGGCTCAGGCCGTGTTTGCTAATTTGAGACACCCATGGCGTCAGAGTGCTTTATCCCTGAACCACAAGGGACGTGTTTATCAAGCTACAGTACAGGCTGTTTTGTTGTATGGCTGTGAGACTTGGCCTGTTCGAGTAGCGGAACTGAGACGTCTTCGAGTGTTGACAATCATTGTCTCAGAACAATAGCTCGTGTGGTTGGTGTCGGCGGATCCGCAACGAAGCAGTTAGAAAGCGCGTTTTCGGTTGTGTGACGGGTACTTCCATTGAAGAATGTGTCCAGCACCAGAAGCTGCGTTGGTTCGGACATGTGTTGCCGAACCATCGTTTGCCGAAGAGAGTGCTATTTTCAATGCCCAATTCGGAGTGGCGTAACAGAGAGGTGGCCAACCCTTGACTTGGCAGAGGAGTATGAAGGAGGTCACGAAACGCTTGGGTGCTGTCGATGCTACTCTCCTTCCAGGATGGGGACCGCGTGATCCTCACTGTGCCTGGTTGGAGACACTACAGGATATAGCTGCCAACCGATGCCAGTGGCATTCTTGTTCAGTTTCTATCCAGATCGCCTGAGTGAGTGTCTGGAGGTATAGGCATCTCGGAATGATTGTGGTAAGCTAGCACTAAGTCCCTTCCCCGTCCACCTTTACTCTTTACAATAAAGCTTTCAAATAAATCATGGTTGTACGGCAGTGAAGCATGCTATCGATGATGATGCTGTAAGCCGTGAAGTGCTGCTGCAAGACTGGGTTTGATCAAACTCAATCGACGTGGTAGATAAATCTGTTTACCTGGGCAGTTGTATAATTTCCGGTGGACTGGTTGGAGATATGACTACTTCTCGAATAGGGGAGGCTAGGGCAGCTTTTGCCAACCGCTGACACCTACGGCGCCGACGTGACGTGAGTTTGTCAGTCAAGGGCAGAGGTTACAATGCGGCGGTATGATCCATACTATTTTACGGATCGAACATTTGGTCTCTACGTGCAGAGGACCATATGAAAGATGACTGTTGGTATCTCCGAGGCATTGGTTGAGTCTGGTTGAAACATCGCGTTAGTAATGCTAAGGTACGTCAGGTGGTTCTAGGAAAAAGGAACTCTCCTGCGATAGATGAGTTACTCACGCTTCAAAGGTTACGCTGGTGGGTACATGTAATCCGCATGCCAGACGACTGTCTGTCTCGCAAAACTCTTCGCCCGGCCCTGTGCTGAGTGGAAGTGACTGAGAGGTGGACAATCTATGACCTGGCAAGGAAGTATGAAAATGTTAACCAGTAAGCTTGGTCGGGTCAACAACTGCCGCCTCCCTGGATGGGGATCTCGGGAATCGAATAGCCAATGGTTAATGACACTGGCAAAAATGGCCCAATTGCGCAGTCAGTGGCACTCGTGGATCAAACCTATTACCTTCAATGCGTGGCTACTTAGTTCTCGAACTAACTAAAGATGCTATTACCTAAAAGGCTTGGCCACATACCCCGCACTCTCCCAATTTCCACCATCAAATTGAGCTGTGCTTTTGACCACAAGGAATCAGTCGCTAGGCCTTCAGCAAGGCCACAGCCCTATGGAGATCCACGTCTCTAAGATTGGCTGAGTTGTCCCGCAGGTAGAAGTCCTGATATCACGTACAGCTTTGGACACCTCGCTCCAGTGATGGTTAAGATCTTTCATCGGATCAGCAGACAGGCATTGAAGAGGGACTGATGCATTTTTCAACCTTGGGGTTAACGAGCTTCTAAATGACCAAACGGTGTGCACGTTTCGTGTGGACATCAAGAAAGAAAAGCAACAGAGACAGTGGTAGGTAGTAATCGATTCACACCAACGGTAAATAACGGTAATATGGTCTATTTGGGTTCGAGTCCGGTTCGTTGATGGTTACCACGTGGTCGAACGACCCCGCCGTCACGGGGCCGGTCCTGTAAGGGAACAATCACTGATCCGCAGGTGCCTACAGGTGCCCTGCGTTGTGTGCCTCA